TATATATATATATATATATATATATATATATATATATATATATAAGATGAATGTTAATATAAAGCTGATATCTGAAACACTATGAGAATCTCAAAAATAAGATGATAATACTTGACTATTTTTTTCAGTTATATCATTTGAAGAAAAGAGTGAATATTGAAAACATCATTTGCTAAAATGTTTGCAAACAATTTATATTCAATGAGCAAATACCATTAACTTTTATATAGTGTAATATATTACAGGAAAATGAACTATTAAGAATATTTACTGTTCAATTTCTCGAGAAAAATGTCATTTCACATTAACAAAAATGAAACTAAAGAGGTAAGCAAAACTATCACTAATATAATCAGTGATAATAAAGACAATAAAAATAATAATAAATTATTATTAGTAGTAGTATTTGGATGCAGTGTGAAATATCCACATCAAACTTAGATATTCATATGTTCGATGAATTGCAAATAAACATCAGTCATAATTTGCAGCTCTTCACAGCAGATGTTAATTGTATGAGATGGTAGGTAGCATTAAAAAGCTACCTTTTTCTATTTTTTTAAAATTATTTTTAATAGATAGCTTTGCTTTCATCCGTTTCATTAAGTGTTTGAATTTTTCAAACTCTGACAGAATGAATATTAAATTTTCAGTTGTCAGTGATGTCCACCAAGTGTTCATTTGGTTTCTACAAAAACTATGAATTACAAATTGTTATATTACCTACCACATTCAGTAAGCTCGAAGTAGTAATTATTTTGCCGATAAAGCGTTTCGGTTTACCTCATCTTTTGCAAGCAATATCAGGAAAAGATATAATAAATTTATTGCATAGAACACGACTAAAAGTCTTGGAGGTAATCTTGTTTTTGCATTTCTACTCCATTATCAAAACAAGATTGCGTTCGTAGTACTTAACTACCAAAATATTACTGAGTAGAGCAATGAGCATTGAGGTCTGATTGCGTATAATCAGTTTTATGGAAGACTGTGCATTTTATAAAGCTTCCATGAAAAATCTTTTTACTTAATCTTTAAAAAAAGATAAAGTTTCACAAAAATTTATTATCTTTAATTTATCGGAATACAAATATTACTGTTCTTTATTATCAATAATAGAACACTTGCAATTATGAATTAAATTTACTTTCTCTTTACCCTTCTGTGACAAAATCAAATGTTTTTTCTTTTCTTGCTTAGTTAATGACATTTTTCATACTCTTTTCTTGAAGGATTTTCGACAGTTATAATTCATAATTGTGATAAATAATTTCATAACAAAATTTAGGTAGAAGTACCGAAATTCGAAATCAAGCGAAAAATTCACAAGCAAGATGTATTAGACGAAATGGGCATCGAAAGTAATTACTCGAAAAATTCAGACTTCTTCGATTATTTTTTTCATCCTATTTCTACTGGAGTGATTGACCTCACGCAAACCATAAGTGTGAGCACTTTCAGTGATATTGATCATTTACTTCTTCTATAAACAGGTTACAAGAAGATATGAACTCAAAGTTCTATTAGTCCTAATAAATGAATTTTGATTTCATATGCTTATGACTAATTTTGAGAACAACTCCAAGTTTTAATTTCATAACGTAATTTTGAAACCATAAAATTAAGCTTATAGATTGGTACGCATGAAGGACCTCCGCATTACGATTATCTCAGTTATTTTTACTTATCCGTAAATATCTATAAATTTACTGCTGACCAACCATTTCTTTTTGCACTTATTGAGGATCGAAAGAAAATTTGGTTTGCTGGTCAATTTTCTTAATAAAAATTTTTTTGATCAGTAGTAGTACCTTTCTTGATGAAGAAATAGTTTTATTTTCTCCAAGAGAATACCATATTCACTAATTTAAAAAGCATAGCAAACTTTTTTTGCTTTTTGAAATGTATATGAACAGTTTTTCCAAGTTAGCTTTCCATTTTCTTCTCTTACGAATTTGAACCTGTTCTGCAGCAATCAAAAGTGTAAAGAATGTTCATTTGTTTCACTTCATTTGAGCAACAAACATATATATCAGTTTATACGACTACTCACTCCTTCATTACATTTTACCTTATATTTTGCAACACATTTGTACTCAATGATAAATTATACACTTGTTTGCTAGAACTTACCAGCCTGATCTTCACTAAGGGCAGCAAATTCTCAAAATGCTGAATAAATAGTAGTTGAAAACAGATATTTTTTTGCACATATCATTATTTTGTTCTGATGTCTGGCTCGAATTTCAGTTTTATTCACGCATTAATTTACTAATGGAAAAGAGATAAAGATGGCAGATGATTTATTATGTATTAATAATGAATGGTAGAAAATGATTAATCCATAGTGCATGTTGACAGCAAACAGGTTAAGATTATATAAATGACTTATTCAGGTTATTTCGCTCTGATAGGCTTCTTGGCCTGAAATACAAAGTTCTGAATGTTTTTTTAAGACACACAAAATTTGCAATTGAAAATTTGTAACATGAAACTAGCATTTTTATTTGTTGTATAATTAATACAAGAAAAGAACTTGCTATATTTAACAGCTATTTTGAATGTGAGAGAAAGTATACTTACGGTTGGTGGCGGCGCTTGCGCTTTGACAATATGTTTTTCGCCACTTTCATCCATCGATCCTGCTTTCTGTAGAGACTGATTAGCGTCTACAGCGGTAACTATTATATCGTCCTCCTCAACTTCATCCACACCTGGCACACTTAGAGGAATAGGGGCAATAGGCGGTCGAGCCGCATCACCGTCTGCTTTTACTTGTTCTATGTATTTTGGTGGTTCTAAGTTTTTACGAATCTGTTCAAGTTCTTCATTTTCACGACGTCCCCATTCTGGTGGCGGTCGGGCAGTTCCGTGAGCAATTTTGGGCTGTTTCTTTATTGCCGGCTAAACAAAAAACAAACGACGATAATAGTTAAAAAAAAGGACTATTGAAATATGATCTGGCTAATTTTTCAGTCATATTCAAATTTTTGTATCATAATTTTCGATTCTAAATCTGAAAATATGCTAAATCTTGAAACATATAGCATTTCCTTTTTACGAAATTAGTAATCATTTTAGAAATTAATAATCTTTTGAAAAGTTATGTTTTGGAAGGAAAACCTCGTGATGGCACCCTTTGATTTGAAAAATTAATCAAGACAAATGTGTAAGTAGACTTTGAATTGTGAGATCTACATTGTGACCATAATGGCAGAAATATGATGAAATTCATATAATAATAAAAATTAGAAGAAAATATTCTTCCATATTTATCTTTTGATAAATTAATTTTTAAATATTTGCTAATATTTACATGTTCGTAAAGATTACGACGGTCACCATACGAACGTCGGTCAATCTGACGATCAAATTTCGATGCCACATTGATTTTTGGCTGAAAATAAGCATCTGAGTTTTCTTAAATTCAAAACATTTATCATACTTTAGTACTCTGGAATTTACATGAAATGGAATTATGAAAAAATGCAGCTTTTTCAACTTGCTGGTAAATTTTGTTGAAAATGCACGTTTCTTCAAAGAAATCAGGTCATGGAAGTGGAAAAACTGACCGGATGTATCGAAGCAGCTGCTTCTTCTGGATCCAAACCCTTCTGCAAAGCTTTGTTACGCGCAACCTGACGTTCACGTTCATGAAGCTCTTTTAACTAAAATATATTTGTGATAAATAATTATGTTTAACTTGGGAATTCTAAAAAATATATTGCATTAGAAATTAGATTGCATACATCATACTCCTGACGTTCATGTCGCTTCTCCAAATCATACTTTTCACCTTCGAGCTTAACGATACGTGCATGTAATTGCTTGATTTGATACTTTAGATCATTTGGTAACAGATCAGCCACATTTGCTATCCGACGTTGAACTGCTTCTACAAATGCTTGTCTGGCAGCAGCTTTTCCATCATCAAGTGGCTCTTGCTTTGCCTAATATTGAAAACTATCAATTTTTTGTTTTTATGAATATAGTAATTTTGAATTGTGAACATTTGTACAATTCAAAATTTCAAAATTCTTTTGTATCAATTTATCGTATTACTACCATAGCAAAAGCAAATTAATGTCATGACCTTTAAAGATAAATTGATTTTTATGATAGAACCTATTTTGATCACTTATTACGTTGAAAATAAGCTAACTGCAAGATTTTTCATTTGGTCGCCTTTTTCCTGCTTGCGAATAACGAAGTTCTTTCCACCTCCTCCGGTTCCAGCAGTAAATGATCCGGCCATCAGATTCTGTCGTTTCTTTCTTTCTTCTTCCCGTCGACGCTTTTCTGCTTCGATGCGTGCTTTGCTTTCTTCCTAAATGCGTGAAAAAGTAAGTTCTAGAACATCGACAAACGCATCTTTAAATCACTGATTTTTTCATCATGATCTCATATCAATATGATTCGATTCTTTTCACATAAAACGAGTAAATAAACAAGAACGATATCTAAAGTGACAGTCACAACACAGAATTTTGATGCTGAGTAGCAGTTAGAGCATCCAGCAGTTAAGCTATGCAGGTTCTGACTGATTCTGTCACTTAGTAATGCAAGTCAAAACAGTTGTGTCTCATTCAATTCATTCTACGCTACTGATACCAATTCAAGTGACTACTAACGACGGAATTATGATTACCTCCTCTTGTCGTCGTTTTTCCTCGTTCTGACGTTGTCTTTCTGCGAATTCGCGTTCTTCTTGTTCCCGCTGAAGTCTTCGCTGCTCTTGCTTTTCCTTGAGGGCTCTCAGTTCTTCCTCAATTTGCTCTTTTTCAACTCGCCTTCGTTCTTCGTAATCTTGAATCTTTGCGGCTTCTTCTTCTTCATGTCTTTTTTTCGCAGCCTCAAGAATTAAATGTGTCATAAAAATTTTTCTTAATGCTTGCATTGTACACTTTTATTTGAAAAGCGCATATTTTTTGACCAGTTGATTATATTAAGTATTTTCTGCAACGAATTTTCATTGTCATTTTGATCATATTTTGTGCCGTAAAATTTATTACTAAAACAATCTTTAGAGGATGAGTCAGCTGCAAAAATTTTTATATTTACAAGCATAGCTTTTTCAGCTTCCGTCTGTTCAGCTGGTGCTTCCTCCTTTTCTTGCGGTGGTGCACGGCGTAACCTGAAATGATGCAAAGTTCGTTCAGAGTTTCCTTTCCCATTCAATGATTAGGATGAACTCTCTTGTAATATAAGTAATCGTGACTATGATAATTGTTTAAATGTGACTGCTTTGCAGATCATTTATTACGGAAAACAAAAATTTAAAGCTCATGATTATCTAAGATTTTTATTATATAATCAATAAAATTAGCATTACTGGAGCGAAAAAAATATCTGTAAAGTGACAGTGGTTGAAAGAAATGTATCACTGCTAAATATTTTAAACTTTCATGCAAATTTTAAATAAAAGTGATTGATTTATAAATTATTTAGAAATTTTGAAACCATATAATCTTTCAACCACTGTTATTTCACAGATTTTTTTTTTCGCCAATGTCGTCAATTTTTCATTTATTTTATTTGGAATTTTAGATATACATGATTTGTATAGGTTTTTATTAACATAAAAAATGGGCTTCAAAGCGGTGACATTTAAATATCAATAATCATTCACGATTACTTTTACTGCAAGTGACTAACAAACTAAAGCACACGTAACTTGCCAAATAAATTAGTGGATTTTCTATAAGTTTTTGTTTGAAAAGGAATATCAAGTATTAACTCCTCATACTGCATACAAATCGAAATTAGTGACTTTCATAGCAATGTTTCAGAAAAAGGAGTAATTCAAATAGAAGATCAAACAGATTCCATAAATAAGGAAATTCAAGTTTTTATGTGGATTTTAATTTTAGAATGTTTCTTACTGAGGTGCAGCTTCTAACTTCTCAGCAGGAGAATCATCTGCTTGTGGTTCTTCCTTTTCTTCATCAACACCTTCTTCGACTTCCTCCTCTTCCTCGAGTTCTTCGTCTTCCTCCTCTTCAGAACTACAAGTATTCACAAGATGAAAAGTTAATTTCACTATCTATTAACATTATCAACCTTTTTAAATTAGTACTAACAGAAGAATTTACGTGTGAAATTTGCTTACATTTCTTCTTCTTCTTCTGCCATTTTTGCTTTTTGAAAAAATTATGATTGAATGCCCGAACTAAAAACCATATAAGAAAATGAGTTTCGTAAACATTTTATATATATTTAACATTAAAAACCATTAAATTATTAGGGGCAAAAAGAGAAATGATAATAGTAGTGGCAATGAGCCTTAACTGCTCAAGATGATATGAAATACCAGTTGTTTGTAAAAGAAATTCGCATATGGAATCAGCGTAACCTTTCAAAGATATTTGTTCAGGAAGAGATGCAAAAATAAACTATTGATACTACATGCAATTACTTCAAGACGGCGATAGGCGATAAACAACTCAATATATTTATCAAATAATGAATAAAGTGAGAAGTACAAACAAAGCAATTAGTACATGTAATCAACTGCTATTCAGAACAAGCGCAATTTGATCTTTTCAATAACTGATAAAAGTGAATTGAAGAGAAACAATACAAATTTAAGCAAATGCAACTCATAAGAGGTAAATAAGTCAAAAGTACGCGCAGTCTTCTACATTTTCATGAAATAACCAGCAAAAGATCATCTTATGCAAAATAACCGAAGCTGTTCGATGAAGACTGAATGTCGAGAGAAAGACTGAAGTTGCAAACATCAGACCGATCGGGTTGGCGAAAGTAGGAAAGAACTGCTGGACTTGAAATTGAGAAAGCTTTTATAAATGAAAAAAGTGAGGAGAAACGTGTCTGAAAATTTATACATCCATTCAAATCTTCACTTCCATGTCTAACTTTGAAGCAGTTAAGAAATACAATTACTTCATCATTCATCATTTCATCTATCCACTCACTTCCCTCCATCAAACTCACTCACTCCTTCATTCACTGATTAACTGATTAACTAACTAACTAACTAATTAACTAATTAACTAAATAACCAATTCACTTATTTATATTTTTTCAGTTCTGCCCACAAGTGCACTGCTTCTTCACAGTGCCTCAAGGTACAGAAAGAATTTCATACAGCCCAGCTACTCTCAATACCACATCTCCAGCTTTAGCACTAACCTCTAATTTTCTTCACTCAACATCTTTTCTCATACGAATGTATGAGAATGTGAGATATAGAATATGTGATTTGAGAATATGTGATATATATATATATATATATGTTGTTCGTTTCTTCTATTGGTAACTGAAATGATTGTATTGAAGGCTAGGGTTTTGAAAAATCATATTTTTGCTCATTTCAACAACAGCCTGTCTTATAATCATTGCAGATGATTCGTTCTGAGAGCAAATTAATATTACTTTCCAACCTATCTTCTCCGTGCTTTTTCCAACCAACTACATTATCATTTCTAAACAAAAATATAGCGTTCGTTGATGCTTTCAGTTTGCAGGTGTTTTCTCTGTTAAGAAGTAACGTATATATAAATAAATATCTAATGCTCGCTTCCAGGTCAAATCATATGGAGAAGGGAAAGAATGAAATAAATTTTTTCGAGTTCTATCACACTAACTTATTTCCGTTATTGATGGTAGTAATTTTGAAAAAAAAATGATATAGCTACATTCATCACTGCTATTAGTACTACTACTACCAAAAAAAGTTAATTCCAGAATAATTGATCACCAATGAATGCAAATTTGAGATGTCACATATGATATTACCCAAATCTAACTGGCATGCAAAGCTTCAGTTTACCAAGAAACTTTGAAAACACTAAATATGCTTATTCTACATGAGGCTTAACATTAACTGCATATTTCATTTCATTTTAGTTAGAAAAAATGCTAGCTGTGTATCTATAATCAAGCATGAAATGCAATATTCTGAAATTGAAGAGAAGTTGAATTATGTTTGTGAATTATCAAGACACAAACAGTTTTCAATACTGAGTTTAACTGCAAAACTGAATATTTTCACGGCGTCTTCATAGCACACTTCTGCTTGGTTTCCCTTCTGATAACTTCTCTTTTGTTGCACAAAATATTAGAGAAAAGTACTTTGAGAATCGCAGTTTGTTAGTTGTAGTTCCTACCTTAGCTTTCTTTTAGCATTGAGTGCACTAACACAAACCATACATTTTATTTTGCAGCTGTTTATACATTTTAACTAGCAACAAAAAATCTAGTCATTTTCTAAAAACGAGAATATATCTTTACTCGACCGGACAAGTATATCTGTCAATCAGCTGACAAGACAGGAGGTAAAAATAAATAGACTATCTTTTAATTCTTAATATTTTGAAGAACAAGTGCAAAACAAAAACATCAAAGACATTTTCATTTGTTTCCAAGATTTAAAAAATTTTCATTCATACTCTCCGAAAAGCAAAACATTATCTGAATTGTTACTTTGGTATATCATTTAATGAGCAAATGCTTAAGCCAAATGGTGACTTCCATTTTAGCAACTGCTGCCTAGCACTAATTTGTTTAATTAATTACATTTCTTTAAATTGGATCTACATATTTCAGCTAGTAGTTCCTTATGAAGTTAATTCATTACGAAATAATTTATAGCTTCTCGCGTGAAATGCAAATGCTTACGTGAAGTTTTCAACCGGAAATAGAATTTGAGTTTTACAATCACCGACTTTACTTTCGTAACTCATGCATTGCTCAGTTCAAATTTAAAGATATCATTAAAAAGGAGTTTTCAAAAATTGTCTGAAATTTTTATATTCTAGTAACTAAAAATATTTCATTACAAAACTAAGCATTTCATTGCAAGTCTTCGTTCCATGAATTTATTTGATAAAACATAATAAGAATAGATATTCGTTACTTCTGGATTTTTATTCCTTGTTTAATTTCTAGAAAATGTGCAGTTGTATCAATGAGTAATAATTATTTTCTATATTTTATGAATGCATATAGAGTAGCAAGTAATTCCAGAACTAGTCTTAGTTAAAAGGTACAGCGCTTGAGGAAAATTTAGAATGAACAGTTTAAGCAGTTGCGCTGCTTACTACCCTTTCAAAACAGGTATGTTCTTAAAACTTTGTGCTGATTGACCTATCATGCATGATCTCTAGTAATAAAAACTGTTAGCATACAAAAATTAATTTCCTTGAAGCTGTACAAAAGCAGAGAAAGTGTTTGCAGACGATTTCAGACCTCCTCAAGAATGGAATGATTAACCAAAACTTCAAAACGCAAAGAATACAATTAGAAAAAACAACAAATACCATTTAGTAAGATAGAACCCTCATTATTCAGGATTAAAGACTGAAAATCCATCAGCAGTTATAACCACTTTTTAATAGTTCATTACCACTCATTACAGGAACAATCAAATCATCCATATTTGGTAAAACTAAGTTCTTCTCCAATAATAAGCGAAGTTTATTGTCAATCCAGTTGGACACGGCACTCATATCTACCGACCTATCCCCCACTTGCGGCACACATTTCATAAAGAGCCTTGGCGGAGTACGGAACGCATACCTTAAATCCAGGTTTCCGAAACTATAAATTTTTAAGAATCAAAATCGACTCATAACATACAATGTATACCATTACAAAAATATGTACCACGAAAACTGACCAAAGTCTATCAGACGGAGGTGGTGGAATGTTAATAGTCATTGTACCTTCCAAATGAATTACATCAACATTAAGCAACAATCGTGTTGATGATATGCCTTCCATTACCTAAATAACGTCAATACTTTTAAACCTAGTTCGAAAAATGAAAGCATAGATGATAATAAATGTTGTGGAAACGAGAAGAAATCAAACCTTCTTTACTGGCTTCAATTCAGAAGCTCCTTGAAATATATTAGTGTTCACTATTTTGTCAACTACATTTAACAACTTTCTACCTGCACTTCCTTTATTCGTGGAAACTCTATAAAATAAATAATTCAAAGGAGTAGACTTATTGAATTTCTAAAACAATGAGAGCAAATCACGGCAGATATATCCAATTTAAAAAGATAAAGAATAACTTTTCTGTTTTGGAACCGAAGTCTTCATCTGGACTGCTTTCAGGGGACTCTGGCAAGTCAGAATCTGAATAATGATGAACACGAGGGAAAATTTTCAGTTTCTTTGCCTGAATTCAAAATGAATATTCTATATAATCTTAAAATTGATTCAAAAAATGTTAATAATAAGAACTACCTCCCTGCATAGTTCATTTCTTTGGGTCCCTTCCTTCAGTTTCATTAAATTAACTTTAGTTTCCAATGAAAGATGGATTCTACCTGAGTACTTCATCTATAAAATATGTAAATTATAACGTTGCTCTATTCATGTATTTTAATACTGTACAACTTTGACTGGAACAAAAAAATTATGCTCGACGAAAAAACAAAATAATCAGAAACAATGATTCGAACTCGAAGAACAATTTAAAGAAATATACTTCAAAATCGATCCAAAGTCCCCAGTCATCCAAAACAGGAGCATAAACACCGGCAATTTCTGGTGATGTAGTGCCTAGATCCAAACTGGAGAGCTCCAAAGTTTCGATAAAATATGGCAACTGAAACGTTACACAAAGTTTGCTTGACAAAAAAGCTTCATTAACTGATATCAAGCATCAAAATTTATCCCTAGGATTGATAAAAGATAAAGTAATGTGAAACCTCAATGAGATTTTGACTCGAATTACAATTTTTGTTGAATCCGAATCGATAAATTTACAAAAATAAATCTTTGAAAACTAACTGAAAATGAGCAACTAGATGAGACAGCTACTTGTCATCAATCTTAAACACTGAAATCGTTCAATGTTTAAGATTAGATTATCTTTCATAGTAAATTGGTTATAGAATATCTACCATACTCACAAGAAATTAGATAAATATTTGCAACATCCAGAAAGCAATAAAATAAATTGGACAGAAACGTTTTAAAGGACACAATTTTGAATCAAGCCATAACTCTCGAAGTTTCAGTTATCAATGAAATAAGCATAACACTACATTACAAGGTTATTTCCAAATACATGGTAATAAACTCACATGAACAGTAGCTAATTTAGATTGAATTTTATTTTGAACTTGCTTACACCAATACGCATCTCGACAAAAATCATAAAATATTCTGAAATGTTTCTAGCAACTTATCACTTACACTAGAAAAAATCCTCCCTTCACAGAAAGAATGAAAAATAACAAAATTAAAAGAGATGAGGTATGTGTACACAAGAATTTCAATAGCTGCAACCAAAATACTCCACATCAGAAAATAAGATATAACTGCAAAATAAAGCTGTCAAAATTGCTTAAACCTTGCAGCTAAAGCGTTTGCAGACATTACAAGCTCTGAATCTGTATCTGCTTTCCCACGACTCCACTTATTACGTCCTAAATCCATATATTTTACGGCACCACTGGTTTCTTTTGTTTTTTTTTGAAGTGATGTTTTAATAACCTCTTTGATACATCTAGAAAAGACTAGAACAGAACAAGCTTCAATCAGAAAATAAAAAATCACGAGTAAATCCAGTTATTTTAAATCCATAATGTTTATGGTAAAACAACTGTACTAAAATTCATACTTCTCAAACTGTATGCGATTGCTCAGATAGAGAAAATGCTCCAAATTTAATTTGATCAAATTTTCATCAGATGATAAGGGAAGTGAGAGACGTCGTCTAGACAAACTTTCTTTAGAATTAACTGTTGAAACCTAAATAATGTTTTTTAAATTATTCAAATATATCCAGCTATAACTATTTCATTCGCCATAGATGACAGAGTTCACAACATAAACATTACAATTAATAGAAATACTTGTATCACTTAATTACTAATGGCGTAGACGCATGAAGCAATTCACAAAATTATTTAAGGTTTATCATAATTACTGCTATTGCATAACAGACACTTGAGTAAATTTATTACAGAAGTCAAGACTTCCTGGAACTTTTTGCAAAGCTTGATTGATGACCTGTGTCGCTCAATATTTTTAATTTAGTTATAATAATATGAACTACCACAGTGGTGTACACTTGTTTATTTTGCGAAAGGTTCCAATATAGTGAACAATACTTATTTCAATTTCATACCATTACATTTGCAGCGTTTTCAATGTACTGACTGGAAGCCTCTCGTAATCTGGAAAATTTCATTTTTGTTTTGAAACGACAGAAATATAAACTTCTAATTACGCCCTTTTTAAAGTGAAAATACAGTAGGCAATAAGGTAAGACCTCGGCATAAAGATCAATCAAGAAATGAGAGAATAACTACCAAAAGCTTTTTCTTGCTTCAGAGTCTTGATGAATACAGTCCAAAACAGTTTACCAATAATATAATTTCACCACACTTTTCTAATATAACTGCTAGTTCATTAATAATGATAACTTCATGATATTATCTTTGACTCTTGCCCGACATATATCCAAAATTTTTTCCCAAAAATAATTTCAATGACATTTTCAAAGAAAATTACTTATGAAACCAGCGTTCTTTCTCTCTAGCACTACGAACAAACAGATATAAACTTTGGCCTTTGATACGATTCTCGTTTTTTGTATCACACTGATTCCTGTATTGCATACAGCCCATGGAATTTGCACGAGCACTTTTTACACATATATAATCTGAAAATTATCTCATCTTCATATATTCTAAAACATTTCTATAGCAAATCTATTAAGATGATCAAATAAAACATTAAAAGTAAACAACTAAACTTGTGATCAGAAGACTTGAGCAATAAACTTCTATTAGGAAAAATATGAATATAAAATAATTCTCATATGAAGATTCTTCTGCGAACTGTGAACTTTGATCTATACAAAAGTAGATTCAAAAACAAGGAAGTTGAGAAGCGTGATGATCATTCACTATGTTCTTACAGGAATTCCAATTTAATGTAAAATTAAATTGAGAAGCAAAATAAAAATATACGCGAATGTTCCTTGAAATTCTTTTGAGAACCACTTTCCATTTTACTTTTATGCAATACTTTGCGTAATTCTGGCGACCTTAATCAAAATCATTGAAGGCATAATGCTTTAAATATAAACGACAGTAAATTTAATTTTAAATTTTATAAAAACACCACTTAAATGAAAGCTTAAGGTTAAGATAAATAAAATGACATGCAAAAAATAAGTTTTCGCATAATTCTTCTTTCAAGACACATATAATTTTGAACTAAAATTCTATTATCTGAAAAACATATCGATGACGTGATTTTTATTTACAACTGCACCTCAAACTTACTAATATGAATTTTCAATGTGATAAAAAAAACCCCTTCATTATTCCTCGCATTACGTGAATATTACTAAATTCATCATCAGACGATGCAGATGCAGAATTTGATATATCGACAGCTTCATTCACAGAAAATGACTTTCGAAACGGCGAAAGAGTCGATATTTCATTACTACTAGAAGCTAAGCGAATATGTATTGGATACTTGCGGCTCCACCAGCGTCTTCTGGCCAATCTTTTGGGTCGTAAAGTAACCTACGTAAATAAAGCAGAAAGTATAAATCAAAACAAATAATTTGTCGTCTGCTTGATTTAAGTATTAAAAAAATTGAAAGGCAAAAAAATTTAACGAAGATTATGGATACCATTGCTCCGGTCAAATTATAAATACTCTGGCTAGAAATTGTAGGTTTCACTTGAGCAAGTGTTGGATCAGTATGAAAAGCGTGTTTAAGAACTGTTCGTTGTAACCGTGAAACGCGCAACAAATTACCATCAAGGCATACAAGAACAGTCTGAGAAGCATTTACATGATAAGTTGATGGGTGATATTTGCCACGAAATTCGTTCATCCAACCCTGTAGTTTGTTTCACTTATTTTAAGTGAAGCACTTATAGATAGATTTTTGAAATATAGAATCTTGCTAAGCAAATGTTAATAGAGTTATGATTTAAAAAATGACCATCCCGAAGCAATATTAGCGCTACTGATTTAGTCTAAATTTGTGCTGAAGTTTAGGTTCAAAAATTATTTTGAAAAAATATATAGGTGGAATGCAAATATAAATTATACAAATGAAAAACGCCATAGCAATCACGAAACAACAACACCTATAAGCATGAATGAAGTAGAAACCGAAAATTTAAGAATAAGAGAACAATAATTACAAATAAAGCCGACTGCATTCAAAATAAACGAGCAATCTATAGAAAAAAAATTAGTAAAAAAAACGAACTTTATAAATTTCATGATTTGAATCCTTATGCTCTTTTAAATCTTCAGTTATGTTCAAGATAATATCTTTAGACACAGAAAAATCGTTCTTTACAGGTTCAGATATGAAAAAATATATGAACCATATAAACGAAATGTACAAACCCCAAAGGAAACCACTGAAGAAACCTGAAACACTGGATTTTTTAACAAAAGCTTTTCTTTAAAATCTTTTGCCTACAGAAATGAAAGAAATCTCTACATACTACAAAATTTGAAAGATATACATAACCATGATACAATAACAGATAGAAGAAGCTGACTCTAGATAAGAAAAAATAACTTATTTCCTTTATGATATAAAAACTTTTAAAAAAAAGCTCTTACCAGGGAAAAAAACGGTTATAGCGAGAAGCAGAACCACGCCACCAACACGATATCGTAAGAAAAGTGAAACTTGAAGTCTTAAATTTTTCCCGTGTGCATTATTTACTGTGATGTAAGTCAATAAAATAAAAAGCATATAACAAACATTTTTAAAATATTGATCACCAATTTCGTCAAAAAAAACTTACTAATATTTAATTCATGCAAAATGCATAAGTGAGATTCTTCATTAAATCTAAAATACACTTTAATTTTCTAAAAATTTTGTTTTCATGATGCATGTAACATATGATATAATGACGCGAAAAAAGCTATAATAGAAGACAATACCTTCTAATCAGGAACTGCAATATCCATGGGTACTGAAACTGAATTGCTTTGTCTTTTTTAACGACAGTTGCGTTAGAGCCAGTAAACCAATCGAAAAATATCGATGGCTGACTAAGTAAAGTCTTAAAAACTAATCACATAAGCCAAACAATAAATAATGGTTTCGCAACGATTATAAATGTTAATGCCACTCTACTCTTCAAGATTGAGAAAGTTTAGAACGAAAATTTTGCAAATCAGATCACGAATATTTGTTATACAATTCAATATTGAAAATGTACATACCTGGTTTACAGGGAAAGAAGTCATTTTTTCCTTTTCTTCTGAACTGAATACTTGATTTGTTTTTCGGACTGAATTTTCTTTTTCTAAAAATACATGCTGCACTAAATAACAGTCCATTCTTTAGTAGCATCAAGATGTACAAAGAATGATTTTTGTTAGCGCAATCTTATTTTCAGTAAGAATTTTTTGTAAAATTACTCCACAGATATTGAACAAGAGTACTTTGATTAATTTAAACTTAACCTGAATCTTCGTGCTCTTTGTGCAAATCTACCAAGTTGTGATTTTTATTTTTGACTTCAGAACTGACTGCATTTGAATGAGACATTTCTTCGGATGGAGGTGAAAATTTTTTAAGACTAAGTGTGGAGTTGTCACTTGATCTAGCATTAAATGCCTCGTGCTCCTGATATTTATTAATTTCGAAGTCATAAAAAACAGCTACTCATATATAAATGAGAAAGCAGAATCAGAAGAAAAAAATTTCACTAAATCAATTTTAAAGTACTGAAAAAATTTACGTTAAAATTAAAAAAAATAACTTATTTGCAAGAAAATCATATTGCATAAAATAGCGGAGTAACACCTTACGAATGCTAGTTTTAAAGGTTTTTTTGCCTGAATCTACAAGATATTCTTTTTTTGCATATCGCAACGAAATTGTTATCATATTGATTTGTCTGCTTTTAAAAAATGAAATGCAATAACTTCGAAGATATATAATTGATATTCAAACAATGAACTATCACGTAGGTGTAGAAGGAGGAAAACCATAAAAAAATGGGACCAAAAAAATATGGAGGAACCATGAACTTACAACCTCATTTGCTTTTGAAGGTTGAAAAATTTGGCATTCCTTGACAACTTTCTCCTCTTGATCGAAATGAGATATGTAATCTACTGAATCTTGGAATGACAAAGTACCTTGATTCATTTCGTCTATAAATATCTGATTATTTGTAATAATTTTATACACTGAATCAAGAGATTAATTTGTGGGCAAACAGAGTGAAGAGGATTTGAAATGAATTTACAGAATGCATAGAAATACATCATTAAATTTTTTAAATCTGTTAAAGAATACTTACCACTAGTACTGGTGTAACTGGCTAATGAAAACGAAGAAGATGACCTTTTAGATACCGAAAACTTTACAGCAGGAATCCCTGAAAAACAGGAACTATTTTACTTCCTACCATGTAACTGGTACTTGGATTATTATAAAACTAAATGGCAGAGTTAGATTTATCATTCATGGAACAGTCTTGCATTTACGCTCTTCGTGGATTCACAATCTCTCTGAAAAAATATTAAGATGTCTGAACGGCCTCTCTCATTTCATCAAAATATTGCTGCTGCTTTTGGTACTGCTCAATGACAGGTAGGCAGAGAGTACTGTACAAGAAAATGAGGTGAAGTAACATACTAAAGTAAAACGATATACGCGGTAGCACTAGTCGTGGATAACACTTAAATGATCAAATTAAAAGGTCTAATTTGAGCAAGAGGACGCAGGAGATGGAAATGGAGGTAAGTGACACATGTGCAAGGATATAGTCAATAGAAGTAACTGAATCGTACCACTCAAGTGACAAAGCAGAAAAGTAAATTGGGTATGTACCAACTAGCATCGTGTACATTTTTGCTACAAAATACGAAAAAAATTGATAAAAACGAATAAGAAAATTGGGTGAGAAATTAAATATAACACAGAAATGCGTTTAAGAAAACTCGAAACGCACTACTTTAAGCGTAAATGTGTTCTATGTTTTATCGTTAGAAAATCCTGAAAAACGTGCCACCACGTATACATATCGTTTGCTGACAATAAAACTTGACAATACATGATGACAAACTTTCTCATTACTGTAATCACATGAGTAATACTTAACTGAAACATACTGTTAAAATAGAAGTAAAAATAGTGAAAAGATAACAATACAATGAAACATACTGCTGACTTTGTGAACTGCTTCCGTCTTGTAATACTTTGCATGCTCATACAAATCCATTTGTTTCAACTAATGATTTTAAGAATACCAGTAATGTTCAAACTTTACGACTTGAACTAAATCCTTTACTGTAAAATAATACAGAAATGTAACAACAGTAGCAGCACAGAACAGCTAAATTAATGCAGCCCGCTGAAACTGCTCCTTTTCACACTAGTCAGCATAATCATATGGGATCCATTTTTTTTTTAATCTTCCCCACTGACTGAGCTGAGCTCATCTCATCTCTGCATTAGCTGTCCTTTGCCAGTCATTTGAGATGGCGGTATAAGCAATGTCATTACTCGAAGCTATTTAACCAACGTAATCGTAAATAGGGGAGCTCAGATTTGTGTAGAGCCACGTTGCATTGTGAACACTCACACTCACGTGGTGCGTACAAACATTTCAACCCATTTCTTTCGCCATCTTGCTAATTCGTTCAACCTGTCTTTTCTTCCACATAATTTTGCGGCTCTCTCTCATTTCGTTCTGCGTATGTAAATTTGTATACCCAGAAATAACTTTCTTCTGCTTATTCTTAGTTGATTATTCAGTCCTGGCATTTCACTTGAAGCAGTGACTCGTCTACAAAAAAGTTAATCCTTTCATTTTTAGTCTTTTTATCACGCATATTCAGTGAGATATTCTACACGTTTTCAGGAATAATACAATATTTATAACGATATTAATGAATGGTGGCACCTTCACTTTTGTTTCTTTGCTTCGAACATCATTGTTAGCCTATTCTGCTTCGCGTAATCTACTACGACCTAGGCGAAACATACCATTTCGCGGTATTTATAGAACGGAAGGCGATTTAGTGCGAAAGGACGATCTTTTGGTGTGCCAACACAAGATAAACTTCCATCCTGGATTGAATGTAAGATGTTTACATCTGTTTTTCTTCTTTAATTGAATATTCTCACATGTGCTTTTTATCTACTAAATGGAAGCGTTATATCGATAATATGAACTGTCACAAGAGTTCGAGCTATAAATTACATCTCTCTGACGCACCATTTACCACTGATAAGTGATAGATCCCTAACTCGACAATCGACTAGACAAGTATTCTCATGGGAAGAAACATCGTCTTTAACCGAATTTTTATTCTACGCTTCTGTACTCTTCCAAGTAGAGCTTTTATTGCATACTTTAAACTTTTTTAAGGTATACTTGAAAAGAGATCAGTCCGGACAGCTACTACTTAAGGCGATGTCAGATGGTCATGTGATGATTACACAGGAAAAGGTAAATCCGGATTTCTCTATACCCGAGATGTTTGCTAATGAGGGCACGCAAGATATCCAAAAGCTGACTTTTAATGTTATTCCTCTTAATGTGTCGCAGTCGTTTCGGCTAGTAAATGAAATTTAATAAACTGCAGTTACCATTTGATGCCATTTGCATTACACTTTTATTTTGTTGACACAAGAAATGAATTCCCTGGAAGTATACGGTCGTGTATGAGCTGTTTTACTGGATTTTGGTTCCATAGCCTAATCTGTTTTTAAGATATTTCTCTGCAGATGGGTAGTTATGAGGTGAACTTTTTTGCAGTTACAAGAGTTATTCATTCATATTTGTAAAAGAGACAAACAATTCAAAAATGTAAGCATGAAATGAGGAGCTGGAGAAACGTATTGAGTATCCTATGTTCTATTTCTGGTAAAATATGAAGATACCAAATTAGATGGGGACATAATACATGCACTTTTATTATTAATGACGATTGTTATCTTTTTCCATGTCTTGCAGAAATCTTTCCGTATAACGACGAAGCTCTTTTGATCCAGAATTCGCCAGGCTAACTGCTTTTTTAGCGTACTGTAAAGCTTCTGCCCTGAAATTTAAAACATCACACAGTGGGAGATATTTCGATGAACAGTATCAGTGCAACGTAATAGTTAAAACAGTTGCGTGCTGTAATGACCAGATTGAATCAATAACATTTTCGTCAAACAGCTTCACTGTGACAAACAAAAGTTTGGGAAAACGAGAAAGAATGTATTAAAAGGATTTTTCATTATACCTTTGGCCACAGTGATACAGTGCTTCTGAATAGTTGCAGTAATATCCAGGTACCAGAGAACAGCATTCATCTATATACAATACTCGATCAATTCCGACTTCCAGATATTTTTTTGCAAGGTCAAACCTAGTAAGTTTGAACAAACTCAGAAGAGAAAAAAATTCGGTTGCAGTGTAAGACTATGAAATCTCACAATCACACAAAATTATTTCGCTTGATAAGAATCACTCAAATTTAAGAACACTGTGATACGTACCCTATAAAGAGGCACGTACAACGACAAAGATTTTACCAAATGGTAGTGGTTCTCTAAGCCTTAGTGGTTTCATTTTTCCACATCATTAACCAAAAAACGGTATTTACTTACCTATTTCTGACCATTAACAAAGCAGCATAATTGTTGAGCATATTGATAGTGTGAAAGCAATTAATGCCATAGATTTGGTGTGAGATCTAAAAATTGCAATAAAAATCATTCAAGAACTTGTAACAAATGGGCCAGAAGCAAGAATGCAGTACCTTTAAAGCTTCATCCATGAGTTGTACAGTTTCATCCAGTCTTTCTTCCTCTCCATAACGAGCCTTAAATACTTTCAGTGTTAAGATATTCAAGCAAGCTTAGGCAGAAATCCATTTGCCAAAAAAATTTTACAATGAAATGGGAATACTGCTCCAGACAAAGCCCATATAACGCAAGAGGATCAGTAAATACAGCCCCATATTGATTGATTAGTTGCGGAATGTCGTACGTGCCACCATAACTTATTGAATATTTTGTCATATGCCTTTCCACAACCTTAAAAAATGATTGTTAGTTCAGAAAACAACTCAACCCAAAATTGTCTATGTCAGTTACTAGAGTACATTCATAAATATAAAGAAAATAGAGTTATTAAGTAATTTATAAGCAAGATTATGAGGAAAAATAGCAGATACTTTCGCATTCTGGTGGTACTTTTAGCACTTAAGTTGTGAAATTTGAAATGATTCATAACAGTTAGCCTCTAAAACATTGTGGGTTGCATACTTTCATCTGTTTAGTAACACAATGTTTGTAGCCAGTTTCGGCATCGTTTATTTTGCCCTTTTGCGCATATATATCAGCTAATTTGAGACTAACATCGATGACTTCAGGATCGCAATCTTGCTTCTTGTGCAGAATAATCAATCTAAATTCATTATTTATACCAAGACATATTCGTACCTCCCTAATGGATAATGACAGGTTGAAATCAAAGAATTAAGGAAACTGAACTTTTTCGTACATATATTTAGAGAAATTGAAAAAAAATGAACCGCCGCATAAGGTCGCGTAAAGTCTGCTCTGCTTCATCAAGTTTCCCCATTTCATAATAAGTATTTGCTAACTCATCAATAACTCTGCTAATAATTAATTCGTTATTGTGTTTGCCAGCCAGCTCCATAGCTTCCTCCAATATTAACACTGCTTGCTGATAATCATGTTGCTTCCTATGCAACCATGCCTCGAAATCGGTCTATGTATTTAAATAATACAATATTTACGATAGACAATAAAATCCTTCCCTACAGTTTAAGAAAGTTAATCAGTTTAGACACCCTTACTTTCTTGATTACATGTTTCAACGGATCCTCATCCAGCTGTAATGCTGGAAAACCAATGAAATCCTTAAAAGTTGTCGCCAGCGAGAAACTAAGTAAAGGAGCAGCAACTCTTCCACAAAACAATTGCCACCACCAGTGACTCCAGTCATAGCTTTTCTTGTGCTTGCCTCTTGTTCGACCCTGATTCCATCTATCTTTAAATGACATTCCAATGACAGACAGCTGATGCACTCGGCGTAAAGATGAATACCAGTTCATTAATTTGCTCTGCATTTTGAAGGACGCAGACCTCAACATCACATTCTTGTCATTGTAGCTAATTTATGAAAAATAAAGCACCACCACAGAATCAATAAAGTATTGTAATTCCTAGCAATATCATTTCTTTCATAATAAAAGATTGACAATCCAGTTATTTACTCATTTCCTTTAATGGCATCTGAATCTTACGTCGCGTAAACACAACAAGCCACAAAAAAACCAATGTTAAAGATGATCATGATCCAAATCTCAGCATTTTGAAAAATAAAATGCGAACAAAAACATGTTAAATTAATCTCAACCTATAAGTAGATTATTAGCAAACAGGAAATTCATGACTGCGTAAACTAACGAGATAAAAAACTGGTTCATGTATCAAGTCCGTAATAAAAATAAGATATGAAACAATAGCTGACTTGAAGCAAATTATGCCACCTAATTAGAACAAAGACACAAAATACATAATGCCTTAAATTATGATTTCAAACCTCATAGTAAACTGCTTTAATACGAACAGTGCATAAACTAATCAATTTTAATAGAAAAAGATGATCCGCAAGAGCAGCCTTTTACTGCAGTTGGATTATCAATGATTCGAAATGAAGATCGCATCAAGTCTTCAACAAAATCCACTGTAGCACCCTTCAAAAACTGCAGTGATTTCTGAAACAGTTTAGATGAAGTACAGACAGTTCCATTTAGTACAAAAGTAAGTACAGACCAACTAACCAAGTTCTACTCCTTAATTCTGATAGTTTACTGTAGGAAGAAGGTAAATAATGCTATCTTTTATAATAAGTGCATGGACCTACAAATTAATAAAACAAATGCACCAATAGCTTAAGGAGTCAAAAATACAGTTGTTTTTGAATAGATTGTATAAATGACGTTGTTATGAATCAAAATCAAAAGAATTAGAATTATTTTCATGACATCAGCAATATATCTTAAGCTCCCATTGAAGTGACTATACAATGCAAATAGATGAAAGTGATGTGATTTATTTAAAGACAAAGTCTGACCTTACTTCTAAATTTAAAGAGCAACTTTAGTTGATGGGAATTTCATAAAACAAACAAAATGAAGAACACAATAATTAATAAAATAAAAGCTTTTTTAATGTAAAAAATATATCTTAAAACATCATATGCATAAAATCCTTTATTTGTCAGATGCAAAAAACTTCTCTGCAAAGCGCATACCTCATCGACAACAATCTTGACGTCATCCTTGAAAAAAAGTACATCACTGTCATTAATTTTAGTATCCAGAGCCATTTTATATTCAAACCCGGAGCAACCACCACCATCAACCACTATTCGTAGATACTCGTTAACACTCGCAATTTTACAAAATTGATTGGCACAATTTTCGGTAATTTTTAAATCAGATGAAACACCATTCTTCGCATACATTTTTCGGGTACTAAACAGCAAACGCCGATTTCTTAACACATTTAAAGAAATGTTCATTGCTTATCACTCCTAAAAAATTGTATGTTATACCTTTTTAAAAGCGTTAACTGTTACGTCCCCTTCATAAGATTTTAACAGAGTTCGAAATTACTATATCACAAGTGTTGCGCAATCATTCCGACTACATAAGTCTATTGAAAATACAATGATCAAAAGAAGCCCAACGTGCACTTCTGCTTAATTATGATGGAAAATTTTTGAGACCAAAAAATCCCAACTCCGTTATATCATCATGATCAAGAAATGAGAGTACCACAAAAAATGCTCTAGAATTTCTGACAAATCCAAAAAAACTCTACTTTTTAATAACACGCCTAACAAAACGCCTGCGGGGACCTCTTTTACGTGATGACTGTAATCGTTCCTTCAGTGAGTTCAATCTCATTGACTCAATTTGAAGAGCTCTCAACAAACCTAAAAAATAAATTAGCGAATAGTCAACAACAATAGTGAGCACTTCGTGGCATCCAGGTATAACAGACAAGCCAATTTTTGGATATGAAAACTCATTTAAATAAGTGGGAAAAGTAATTAATGCCTGTGAAATTAACACGGAGGCGTAGTAACGACGTCTCCTCACTTTCTAAATTTGCGAGCTGTTTCCGAATCTGAGTAAAATTCTGCGACATAACTTACCACCATTCTGAAAAAAAACCTCGCCTCGCGATAAAATTAAAAACTACGTCTAACTCACACGTTTGCAAAATCTCATTTTATAGTACAACTAAGTAGTTTTCCAGTGAAAACGCAGTCTTTGTACATAACTAGAGGCACGAATCTGTACAGTAATAACCGTTCATACGGGATTGATGATCACAAAAAGTTTCTGGTCACCAACGTTTAAACAAGAGAATAGCACTCTAATTTCGAAAATATTTCATGAGCAACGACATCATTTAAACTGATGCACTATTTTTTCTCGAATGCAAACAATAAGAGCCTTCTAACAAAATTCCTGATTATTTCATATTTCAAACTTTGAATCAAAGCACTGAACAAATAGTTAACTTCACCAGCATGTACAGAATTATTAACATGAAATGATTCAGTACAAAATAAAATTCATAAATAATGTTCAATCATTTGAAAGGAAGAAATTTTGAGATCACTAGTTTCTGACATATCTCTAGCAAAATTTATTCCAAAAATCAAAAAAAAAAAAATCAGCAGCAAGTGAAAAAGGTTAATATCTAAATGCTCAGATTTATCGCTTGAAAACAGGAGCTGGGCTGTTCTGATTTGCTCTGCGTCGCTGCCTCTCAAAACGTCGCTCCATTTCATCCAGCAACCGCGGAGTATACCGAACGACCAACCTCACCGTACCGCGAGCAGATTTCAGCAGTTCTACAGCTTTTTCGTGACTTTCCCATTCAACACTAACTCCATTCACCTAAAAATTGTCTGAGTATATTGTATGTAAAATGAAATACATCGACTCCAAATACATAAAAACAATACGATGATTATTCTCATACTGTACAAAATATAAAATAACTAAGTGAAAAGTTATCCTGAAATATATATTACTCCTATTAATTACATCCCCTGAGCCAAGTGAAAATAGATTCAATAATTATTTGACAACTAACTATCAGATAATTTAAACTAGTTTCACTTGCTTACAGAAAATAAGCTTCAAATACTTCCGCAACGGGATCATCTGAAGTTGACTAATCGAAATACAAAAAAACACTTCAGAAAAAAACAACTTTCAGAATTGTTTGTAAATATTTCTCATGATTGCAACGAACAAATACTAGCCGCAATTAATTGATCGCCACGCTTTAATTGACCATTTCTGTCAGCAACACCTCCTGGTATAACGCGCGATATATAAATAGGAGAATTTTGTTCTTTTCCACCCATTACATTGAATCCAAGACCTTGGTCTGTTTTTGGCAGTTCAACTATTCGTGGATGCGCATGTCCTTCCGCAGCTGCAAAAGCAGCCACTGTTGCTTTTGCAGTGGCATTCATACCTATCTAGAAATATGTAAGAAAATAAATTTTCAATGATTCGCAATCAAAAATACCATATCATAAAACATTAAAATATAATTCCGAAACAGTAACTACATACAAGAAACTTCAAGGCAAGCACAAACAAATGTCCACACATCGACTGCAACTGAAAAGCATTACCTCACGACAACGATCAGCACTAACTGTTTCGTAAACATTCTCGAAAACTTCTCGAACTGAGGCAAAAAATTCAGACCGCAAAATATTTTGTAAGATCGCAAGTTTAGGACTATTTAATTCTCCAGTCTTCTGCATATGCTCAATCAATTCTATCATCCTTTGAATATCTGCAATACACATCCAATATTAATGTGCACAAGCTAAAACTATAGAATCACCGATTCCTTAAAAATTCAGAACCAATATTGGCGATAGAACAAAACTGACAAACATACTTACCCACCAATGATGGAGGTACTTAAGCTTCAAAACCACTCCACTAACCCAAATATTACCTCTCTCGAGATGAAGACTGCTGGATGGCTCTTCCATAAAAGCACAGCGAAACCACACCAATTCCAAGCAGTTTCTTCGCTTAGAGACAAAAGCCAATCTAGAACCAAACTGCACACAAAAACTGTATTGAGTCAGGATAACTTACCACATCAGCATAGTTTGACTGTTTTGGATAGTTGGAATGAAATGGGCACATTAATCGCAGAAATTTGGATTTAACACTAAGCAGAATTTTGAAAAACAATCAATAAATATCACAGATTTTTTTTGACTTTTAAAACCTTCAAGTTTATATGATTCTGGTCTCCAAGAAAAATAAAAATTTCGAAACATTAAAATATACGACCACCACTAATAGTATAATGCATTAACAAATAAAACACAAAAATCCTGCAGTTTATATGCATTTTTGTAATATCAAATGTAAGTTTACAAACATATGCGAGCGGCAATTAAAAGATTTCTGATCAGTATGTAAGTTATTGCTAACAATCAACAAGTCCACAATAATAAAGTACAACAATGATGAGGGTCAAGAAGACCGATGCTTGAATCACTGCAAGCAGTCTAAAATACGAACTGAAAACTGCAAATAAGACTATAGACTGATTACAACTAAACATCGAGAGAACAGTGCAATTGCTTAAATCAGAATCATAAAATCATTCATTTGATATGTTAGGATGGAAATATGATGTTGAAAAAATTTATCTGAAACACGCAAGTCTTTTAAATAGGTTAACCTACAAGTTAAACAAACTTTAGATCCCTAATACTGCGACTTAAAAATTTATGAAGACTTCAACACATCAACGATGAATAATTCAGTATTACGTCTTTATTTTCTTTTTTTCATCACTGTATTATTAAGTGAGTTCAAAACCTGCTCCACAATTTACTGCATAAATCAGTTTTTGATGCAACGTTTCTGCATCTTTGTATAGTGGTAATTTCAACAAATTCATGCAGGTTGCAGCTGTCGGCAATTTGTCGACGTCATGAACAAGTTGGATACCCATTGGAGGTGTTAAAGTCTAAATAAATAGATTCTGTATACTCCAATAAGACCTCTTAATCCTATCCAGTATTTTTTGCAGTAAATATCTGACATGTACCAAAATTAAAAAACAATATACGACAATAAAGAAACGTGTTACAAATAATAAGATTTTATAGTAAACATACAGTCTTCATTGAGAATATCAAAATTTCATTGCGAAAAAGAGGTATATTATTTAAATCACTTAAAACTGAACTGCAAAACACATTACTTTGAAACCCATTATGGGTGGTCGTGGACAACCTGTGATGAATTTCAGTAACTTCTTCTTATTTCCAGCTGAAAATCCGTTGATGACTTTCCAGAACTGCTCAATGTATAACTGATCATGTTCTGCTGAAATGATTGAAGAATGATGAATAATATTTCATATTAATGATCAAAAGTAATAACAATAATAAATAAAGATAAATTATAATAAATAACAGCAGTAAATACTATAGTAATAAAAATAAATAAGCAATAATAATAAATAAAGATTCAAACGAAAGAAAATAATTCAAAATAATAAAAGGAAGAAAATAACAAAGAAAAGTGATGATTCCTACACTTTATGTTGTGTACAGTTGTAAATTTTTTTAATTCAGTGAAATCGATCTGTGAATCAATACCACCAATCAACATTGAAAGTTCATGCGGAGAAAACATTTGCAACCATTGTGGATCTATGACATTCCTTAAACCATTTCGAAGTGCAGAAATCATTGGAGAAAGCTAAAACAGTAGCAACAATTATAATTTGTTTTGGACAATAATGAAAAAGTGCAATTTATTTCAAGTATTAAATATCGATAAATGAACATAATTCTTTGAAGTATTGCTAACCCGCTTGGAGAGATAGTAATTAACGTATAACTGGATATATTCCATTCTATTATCTACCGTCACTTTAATGAAGCTACCTCCTGTCTTCAATTCCACTTTCTAAATCAAAACATTAAAGAAATAGTATCTGATTCTAGCTTATTACAAAATTCTCAATATGCAAATCAATAAAAATAAACTATTCTTTACCTCCATTACACCAAAATTATCATTGAGTACAGTAAACTCCAGATCAAGAGAATCTATTTCTTCTGGTGAACAACGCTTCAAAAAATTCAAATTTCTGTGCAAAAGAGGATCATAGGACTTCATTGATTCCAAATCAAGCACAATATCATCTGGATTTCTTACCCACTGCAACAAGAAGAAATCCGCAAAACGAATATCAATCAACAAACCTTCGTAAATCAGCTGAAAATGTAAGGAAATGAGAAAATTTTCTGAAATATTAAAAAAAATTTTTTGAACTATAAACAACGAGAGATTTAAGCATTCACACATTGACAAATGAACTGAAAGATTCCAAATAACTGGGTATATTTTGAAAGAATGGACTTCAAAATTACATAAATATAAAATGTCTACATTAACGAGCACCGCTATCACACTACCTTTGCAATGATTCGTCCAAGAAAATAGAAGTGATCCATAAAATTGTTTGGATAAAGAAAAGGTGCTAGCGGGTTCGGATACAACAGTTGTTCATGAGTTGCAGAGAAAAAACCACGACATGGATCGAGAGCAGTTTGAACAAGCTCGAAAAGAAACTCTCTGAAAATACCACCACCGTCAATTCCTGCTTCCTCCAAACCTGCCCAATTCACCATTTGTACGCGAATAGTTGATTTCATATCCGAAACTGAAAATTTTAACTAAAAAACATTATTCAAACTAATGAAGAACTAATGGCACCCATAACTCAATCAACGATACTTCATTTAGCACAAAAGGGCAGTTTACCGATGTGAGGCTGTAAAGCTCTAAAAGCATCTTCATACAAGGTTGCCCTTCTTGCAAGAATAACATGACCACTTTGTCCTGAAAATTTCGTTCGATTTCTAATTCTAAAATTACAATTAGTAACTAGGAGAAGAGATATTAACTTGGAAAAGAAATCCAGTTTCGGTCCAAAAAATAGCAAGATTTTTTGGCAACTTAAGACTTTTTTAATGATACATACCATTATCATGTTGCATACGGTCTCGATGAAGCAGCTCTGTGAAAATCTAAAAAAAAATCTTTTCATAGAATCCATTCAAATGCATCTGCTTAAAGTCTATTTCAACAACATTTTGCATTCATAATAAGTGAACAGATATACCACAAATTTGTATATCTCATGAAACTAATAGCAAAGAGTAATTAAAGCAAGCAAACGTAGCAAGAGAACAACAATAATCATAATAATAAATTCACCTCAATTCGCTGCATGAAGGGAATAACAAAAGGAATATTGCGAACAATAAAGACATTACGCAATTCCTCAGCAGTAGGTGGATCTTGGCTCGCATCTGTATCTCTGCTACGCAATAAAAAACGTACAAATTCAAATGGACGCCTGGTGCGAAGTCGACGCCCATTTCCAGCACGCCAAAATAACTAAAACGTTACTCACAGATATCTAGTGAACGTATCATAAACTCATACTTTGCATCATATTGAATTTTACAGCTTCATATATCTTGAAAAATGGCATTCCATAGAAATGAAGACTGCGTAGTGTTTTAATATCAAAACTAAAAAAATTAAATGTTTTCGATACTACAACTAAGTCATGAAAAGTTTTCCTTCGAGAAAAAACTAAATGCAAAATTTTAGCCCAACTAAAAATATGAATCCATTCAAAAATATTTAGAATCACTATGTAATGTCTATAAGAAAAAAGTTATCTGATTAGGATATACTGCACTGAAATATATATTCACAATGTTGCAAGCAAAACCTTTATGAACAAATTCCTAACAAATAATAACACAGACTCACAGAACTGATCACAACAGTTCGATTATGGCTAGACCAAAAATTGGAAGGCATAAAGTGAACACGACTATCACGTTCATATAATGCTCTTGTGAGCCCGGTAACATTCTGAAAAAAAAACAACTTATTTTTAATAGCAAAATAAATACAAGTAAATAAGGTAAAATGTACACTTAACCACCTCAAATAAATCAGACCATTTCGAGCTTCTTACAGAACACTGTTGATGCTGGAAAAGTCTGGTTTTCACAGGGAAAGCGAGGTCAATCAGACCTAGAGTTAGATCTCTGAAATTTTAATAAAGTGAAAAATTAAAGAAATAGGACAAAAACGTCATTAAAACATAGCAAAAAACCAAAAAATATATGAAATAACATCAGCATTATAGCATTAATTTTACAATGGCTTTCGTGAGAAGCAATATCACAAAGCTTTCTGAGAATTTTCGCAATCCCTTCAAAACTGTTTCTCATATGTCAACAAATTGTAGAAATATTTTATGCTTCAAACTACTGACAAAAATTTACCGACAATGTATGACGACATTAGCAGTTTCCTTTAATGTAAATGGGAAAGCTGCATCGCCAGTACCTCCACTTTGAAAATCATCGTCATCCACTGTCTTCAGTGAATTGGTCATCAATGTCAGAAACATCGATAGAGGAGGTAGCAAACGCTGTTCATCAAACTGCAGTGTGCTTTCTCCCTGAAATATCAAGCACGTCAGTCGTTAGAAATTAGAGTACAACTTTTCAAAATACTTTTAAATAAGTATAGCAAAACATTTCACCGAAAACAAGCTACAGTATGACGCAATCATCATGATATCTTTAGATAAAACTTTACACGATTGTATGACTTTTATCTCAACAGAATAACATGGAAAAAACAAAAAAAAAACAAAAGTAATTCCAACATGACTTTTTTCATTCAACCTGCTTAAGTCATGTAGTCGCCTAAAAATAATGCACACATCATACGATCTGGAAACTGATTCCCTTCATTAAACAATTTAATTATTAAGATTTAATGAAAAATTTTAATGCTAACCCGTTCTAGTAAAGAGACTAGTAACTGTGCGGCACCATATAATGGATTAGTTTCCAGGGACATAATATGCAGCCACAAACACGGAAACAACTCCCGGAATGATGAAAACAAATTCATTAAAATGGCATAATCAGAAAAAGAATGACTTCGTATGAAATAAGTCAGTGAGCAAAATGAAGCAGTGCCATTCCCATCATTCACTAGAGCACTTATAAACGATTCATTTGACAGCAAAACTTTCAAATTCGATATCAGAACTTTTAAATAGAACTCTGTAGTCTGAAAAAAATTTAAGAACATAATGAACTCACTAAGTGATATGAAATTTCAAGTTTATTTAATATTTGAATTTTTTTTCAGAGCAACTATATAACACACTCACAACAAAATAGAATATTTTACCCTGTTGCTTAAAACCATAAAATCGCCTAAATTTGATGAACAGTACAAATTTTGCGAAAATTTCTTTTGCGAATTTATTAATAGATCACCAAAATAGCAGGTTCAACAATAGGTGTCATAGTCATAACGGTATCTGTCGTTTCATCATCTGAGTCTGAAAACTGATCTTCTCTTGACTGTCTTCTTCTTAGTACTGTATCGGAAGAAAGGGCAATTTTTTGTACAAGTGCAGCATATGTCTTTGTCAATTTCATCTTTTCAGTAGTATTCAGTTTGTCTAAAAACAAACTGTTGACAACACAGATGATTTCCCATCAAATAAAACCGACAATCTTAATAGCAAAAAAAGAAACCAATATGCTTATATCTACAAATACAAACTAGTTACATCATTACTTTTCAATTTAGTTTTATTAAGCCCCAGTCAGCGACTTGAAAAAGGTGATCGAACTTACGCATATTGACTTAATAATAGATAAATAGATATAAATCTACTCTTTTTCCCTGATCTTTTATCAGTGCATAACTGACAACTTTTCGAGTAAAAGAAACTTATAAGACATAAAGCATGAACAAACAAACAAGATATTTTGTACATCCTTAGTGGTAGACAAATGTAAAATCTAATAGCATAAAATTTCCACATATATGATGCAAAAAAACCATACCTACAGGAAATGCAGAAAGAACGATAATCACACAGTATGCAGTTAAAAGTGGCGAAGCATTGATATGTGATGATACATGGCAATCACCACATAGAAATGCGTCTGCTACATCGTTAGAATTGAAACCTCCAGTCTTACATGATCTAGCTAAAAATGGTACAACACAACATACTGTCATTGCTTCGAACTTTGATTGGCAAAGAGCATCAAATAATGCCAAAAAAAAACTCGATCTGAAAGGCAAAATTAATTTTTCATAAGACAATATAATTGTTAGTTTGAATAAAGATGTACTTAAATTTGACGATCAAACTAAAAGAACTTCATTTACTTTATGATGTAATATGACAATCCATTAAAAAGAATTAAATTAAATTGGAAGATCAGAAAGTTGAAAATTGAAAAGAAGAGAAAATCAAATTGTTATGATTTCAAATATGACTGAAACATTACTTTTTAGAAAATATATGTATAGGTAAGACTAGTATTTCCAAAAGAGACTCAGTACGTTGTGGCAGTTTTTCTTCCACACATAAAGCTGAAATTTGCTGCAAGAAATGAATGCATAAGTCACTACACCATAAGATGTCTAATAATCACTCGAAATTATCTCATCTCTAGAATAAGGTGAACAATGCATCACTCCACAATTCAAGTAAAAAAACAAATTCCTCTGCCAAATGTCTCTAAGTTTATCTAAATCAGTTTCATGAATGAAACTGAATGGACGATTATTGGAAACCAAAAAAACATACGTGATTGAAGGCGATGACACTTTGAGAGCCGAGAAAGCACAGATGAAAAAAAACCACTACTTAACAGTATTTGGCCATCTTCCTCGTCAATATAAATTTCAAAAAACCGCAATAGAGGTGCATGCAATTTAGTTTCGTCGATGCATTCAAGTGCCAAAACTGCACAACGCAAAAGCTGTTGTCGCCTTCTTCGCTCCAATAAGTCTTTTGCGTTTGCGGTTTGTGCCAGAGCAACAGCTATACTGCACATCGTTATCTAAAAAAATTTTGCTCACGTTTTAAATCACGGAACAATAATGCCAGAAAATTCGATATAATTATAGAATGTAAAGTTGACCACACAAATGAGATTTTTGAGTTAGAAAAATACACTAATAAGGCTGAATATTATTAGTGTATTACATAAATAACTGAGCACACTAAAGATAAAAAGAAACAGGGAATATGAAAATTTTTATTTACAGTTCGCTGACAGTCGACATCAGTTCTGAAAAAAAAGGCCAGACGAGAAATTTGCGTTTGCAAAGAACAGACGCTTTGTACTGAGCCTACATCATCAAAACAGCATCGCAAATAATTGCGAAACTGTTTTCTTATACGATAACCTCGATAAGCTGATTGTATTTTCAAGGCAGCTGATTTTCGTCTGGAATTAAAATAAATTTTAGAGAGCAGACAATGAAAATTGGAATACAAAGCAACTAAGTACTGGATGGAGTATCCAAAATATGGTTCATAAATTTGATAACAAAGTTATGAGATACCAGCTCGACCCAATTTTTACTTTCAATCAGGAAATGAAAAACCATCGTTTGTAAAATGTGATCCAAAAAAGCAATGGTAGGGATCAAAACAGATTAACACAAAAAATATTTCTGGTGTATTCTACATATTTTTCTTAAGCTTCTATTAGTAATCAAGTTGCTCAAGTTATTAGCATTCACTTAGATTGTAGTCGCCGTTCATTTCGTTCTTCACTAAGTTTTTTCAAGAAATCATCTCTTTTCGCCTGAAATGAATCTTCATTTCGACCATTTCTACTTATACATACCATTATTGAAGAATTCATACCAGAATGAGTAGGATAATCAGTAATACTGCGTTATCATTAAGGAAATGCCGGAACGAAGTGAAAGTCGTAAACCCAAAGCATATAACATGGTACTGCATTAATTTAGTACAATTTTGGAAGGAACTAAATTTCAAAACTTAAGCAAATGTACAAAAACTAACCATATCCGAGAATATAGCGTCCTGTAATTTATTTCGTCTCACAGAACCATTGAAATCGTATAGGTTTAAATTACCAGCCATTTTATTTTCTGAAGTATTCTTACAAAAAATTCAGTCAACAATTGTGCTCAAGCTGGAGACAGCTAAAAAAATATTTTTCTTTGCATCCAAACCTATACGCTGTGAGAATACATAAACTTCAGAAAAAACAAAATAACCCAGGTTTTATATGATTTAATACCAGATCTCGCACTTTAATAATGAAAAATAAAAACCAAAAATCTATCTGTAACTAAAATCACAGGGCGTACGCCCAGTACTTGATCATATCAAAGAATGAATAGAAAACTTATATGTCACAAAACCATGCCCCACCAATTTACTTATAGGATCTGAATTATTCTCGTACAGCTTCCCTTTGATCATACTATAACGAATTTGTGCCAAATGGATTATGTAGATTTAACGTTAATATTCTTAACCGTTAAAAACTGAAAGCTCTGAAGCTCCTAATTAAATGTTCTTCTGTCATACTGCAATGTGTTTTCATAATGGTTAACACATGGATTAGAACCAAAAGAAAAAATAGCGCCCTGAACTTAATGCAATATTTATTTAACTTGAAAAATTTTCCATTCGACACTGAGATGAAAATACGAAGTGCAAAAATTATAAAGCATTATTGACATTATAAAACAGCGGAAGCGAAAAATGAACGTGAGTAATTGGAGTAAAAAAATTTTTTTCCAATAATACTATTAAACTACTTCGCCCAAATTTATCTTTAATTAATGAAAAAATAGTGAACAGCTAAAAAAATTAATCGTCTGATTCTTCACTTGCATTTTCCAACCACTCAATAATGGGACGTACAAGAGCTTTAATAAGTGCGTTATCATGAACAGTACCATACCATTCTAAAATTGCATCTTCTTCAAAAACATTTTGATCATAGAAGAAGTGTATTATTTTTGCCGTCACTGACTGAAATTTCGAATCATATGCAAGATATTCCTGCAAAAAATGGAAAAAGAGCATTAACAATGACAATTTTTTTGTAGACCAGACATTACAATTAACAACAAAGAAATGAAAGAATTTATTAACGAAAAGAAGCTAAAATTGAGATGAAAAGCTTCAAGATAGGACAGGTCCATTTCAAGCAATATTTAACTGAAATGAACTGAACCTAAATGGATGTATAAGTACATTAGCAAAAAAACACTAGCAAATACCTCAATTGCAACTAATGCTTGAATTTGATTTCTTCTGGGTTTGTAGTAGTTGCTAAATAGTAGATGCCAAACCTGAGCGAGCTACAAAAAAGGATTAAAACATTCATTAAAATGTTTCTGCTTAAACAAAGTAGATGAAGTATAATTTTCAAATTTTTAAATATTCTACTTATAATTTACCCTCTTTAACTCAGCAAATGTGCTCGATAATGAAAGAAACGATAGAAAAACTTTGCGTGCAACATCTTCCATTGATATGTTATAAGCAAGCTTAGAGCTGTTGATTTCCAAAATTAGATTTTTTACAAGTTGATCACTGCAGTGTTTTTGCTCGGCTATTCTTTCCATACTTTCTCTCACCTGTTAACTCATGCACCATCAATATTTGCGACACTTGAAGCTTTCGAGTAACTTGAAGAAAATTAACATACAAAAAAATCCACCACAAAAAATATACTTCTACATAAAATCGATCACTGTTCTCCATTTCTTCTTCCTCAGTGACTTCTACTTCTTTAGAATCATTGAATTCTGCAACAACCCCCAGGACAATATAACTCTAACACGACTATTAATACTTTGAATCTACATTCAGTAATATTAGAAGAAATACCTTTAGAGGTTACCGATGTTTCACGTACTAGCGAATTTACTTTCGTAGCACTCCAAAAACTACCACCATTCACCATTCTCCATTCATACCCAACTGTAATATTTTAAAAAAATATGCATACTCATATTACTTGATAGTAATTTTCTAATATGAAGCAATGACTTACATTCAGAAGGAAAGCACTTAAATTGTTCATCGTCATCTCCACAACAATAACTACTTATAACGCTTTCCATAGCCAACTCTCTACCATCTGGTATTTTAACCTGAAAATGAATTCCCATATCGACTGATTTTGCTTTCTGATTCATATCTATTGACATAAGAAATACGTTATTAAAGAATTTATATCGTAAATGACTAGTGCTAATCAGCAATATTGCGCGGTCAGCACAGAACTGCAGAAATCAACAAAGAATGTGGATTAATGTTAGAACCAGATAATATACTTTGGATGATAAAATACAACGAGGATGAAGAGTGACACTATTGCCAATCACAACATCATCTCCAAGAAAGCATTCAAATAAACGACTATTCGTTCCAATTGAAACATTTCTACCAATGATACAGTTCTCAATTTTACAACCGTCGCCTTAAACAGCTATCATAACAGTTTTGATCAATATCACTTGAATGAAACAATAAATAGAGATGAAATGGCTGAATTGTAAAACATAAAGCCAAGAAAAAATTGATGTAGAGTGATATATGATAAAACGTTATTACGATGCCACAGTATTAAAATGTACCAATAGAGGTGTTGAAGCCAATCGAGACATTTTTTAGAAATACATTTGAACCAATAAAACATTTCTTCCCCAACAAAACATTAGTTCCAGCAAGCATTAACGGAAGACCCCTGAAAATTTTTTTAGTTTTGAATAAAATAAAAGATTGTTCACAATAAAGATGATCAGAACCAACAAACCTTTTTGTAGAGCAATTCTGATTTAAACCATCAGATGATAAATAAATATTATTTCTCCCACAACTGTAAGCCGAATTCGATACGTTATAAGGCCCGATAGGCGAAAAGAAATGTTGTAAAAGAAGCTTATTCATATATAACAGATCTGCATAGTCACTGCAAGACGAAAGAAATGGAAAGAAACGAAACAGTAACTCTTATTATGCCAGCATATAACTTAAGATTTTGAAAACAATCAATTTCTGAGTGATAAATGTTGACCGTCATTTCACAAATTATGGTGTACCCCTCACCGGATAATTTTATAAGTGCATAAACTCTACCTTAGAAAATATGAAGTAATGCACGAATTACTAATAAATTTCCTTCATTAGTAACATTAATATGCTAAATATATACTTTACCATAAGATTCAATCAATTCTAGCAAATATTGCAATATTATTTCGGGATTACACTTTTTAAAAACAAACATACTAAGTACAGTAGGCCGAAATTAGCTTTGGAAGGACAGTGACACAAATATTCAAACCAAGAATATCTTCATTAACTAAAATTTCTCGGATAATGTCGTCCTTATATTGATAGTCAAAATTATCATTGAATTGAGTTAATACATTTACCGAACAAAACGCTATACCAGTATCACGAAGATTTTTGCATACGACAGAATCAACTTCGAAAACATTCTAGAATAGGTAAAAGGAAATTATGAGACGAGTCAGTTTAGATTAAAATAAGAACCATTTACTTTATGTTACTGTGAAAATCTTCAGACGAAAGATGACTCATCAAAATGATGCCTACAAAATTACAACCAAACAATTCAAATTCATAATCACACTCCACTAATACTAATAATTAAAAAATTCAACCACATACCTTATTAATATCAAGCTCTGAAGTATCATCTTTCTGATGATAAAGCATAAGTTTTCCACTCTTCTTTGCGTATGCAATCACAGGACATACACTTTTACATTCAGCATAAACAAGTAACATAATATTGTTCCTATCTTTCCTTTTTTCCCTGTCAAGAAATTACAACTGCACAGATTTTTCAACATCAAATAAAGTCTACTTTTTTCAAAATCTTGAGTTATCAAGCAATAACTACAAATGAGCTTTTCAACTTCCATCATTGTAATCCTAAACATCGCAAAAATTGAAAGCTGAAAGCAGCCATAAAATTAAATTCAAATATCTAGAAAACAATTAAGTGTGCTTGGAATACCTACTTAAAATAAGTTACTTGCATACTAAGATCCGTAGCAGCCATTGTCATTGGAGTAGTGAGTAATAAAAAATCTGATGTTATAAGAGATCGACTATGAACTTCACGGATAGCATCACCGACACTCATACAATTCTGACACAATACTACAGTAAGGGAATGCAAGAGAACACGCCAATAGCTGAAACAGATAAAGCACGGAGAGCAAAAAAGGTAAAAATGGAGAGTGAATGACTAATATGAATAAGCAATTCCCTCATCATTAATAATTATTGAATGAATTGCTGAGATACTATAGACTAAAGCACAATATCCCTTATGCCAAAATACTTTACAACAATGCAAACATAAATACTATCACGGGGAGCACAATTCATTTATCCATCTTTCCAAATGGAACCTATGATTAATTTTTAGAAACTTCCGTTTTTCAAAACATAAGTGATCAAGAAATTCTTTTGAAACTTAAAAAATTAAAAGTAAAGTAGTACTTTAATATGCTTCGCACTGCTTTGAATGAGTGCGATGATAAGGCAACTACCACATCATTAAATTCAGTTGTACTAATCCACTGTAACATATAATGCAAAATTTCCATATCTGCTATTCTTATGCAACTCTGAAAAATGGATGTGCTCAATAAAGTTTCCTGAATTCTATCAATCAATTCGGCCGAAAATTATTTGAATTCTTTAAGATGAATAGCAGTGAAGTAGAACAAACTAGCAATTATTCGTTTCTCAAAGAAAATTTCTCAATAATCAAGCAATTAAAATTAGTTCAGTGAGCCTAAATTACAATAACTTTTCATGACCTTTTAGACAAATAATAGGAGATTACTGAGAAAGGATTTCCCAGATTTCTGACTACATGAAGTCTCTTACAGCGCATGAAAAGATGTGCTCAAGATATAAAATTATTAACACATCTTTTTCTGCAAACAGATAGAGCAGACAAATCAAAGTGATTTAGCCAAGTTCACAACTAAAACGCATTACTCACCATAGATGAATTATAAGTGACAGGCAAGAATCGAGACTCAAATGAGTCTGCTATTAATAAAACTTTCATGGGTTTTTCTTTCATTTCACCGATCACCTCCTTTTTTTCTTTCTCCCTCATTTTATCATTCGACTGTCCTAAAAAGTAATAAGATCTGGAATTGCTTACAATCTGCCATAAACTTCTTTCATCAATGATGAAGTTTTAAATAATGCAATTCACAACCTTGTCCAAGAAATATCTGTTACACTTAAGTTTTACAACTCTAAAGATTCAGGTTTGCGCTAGCTTCCCAATGGAATACCTATAAACAGCACTTACAAAACCCACAAACCACCATAATGAAGGAGCAGATTCTATCCCGTACCATGATCCTGTACTGCACATGACGGAAACAACTCGTGAGTTATCCCCACGTACCACAGATATATCACTCAGGTGGTTTGGGCCCCGATGTGCAACAAATGATTCCTATCTAATATACTACTTATTAAATTTGTGCGACCCAATCCAAAACAAATGCATTGAAACTATTTCGATATGAATCAAAGTTCTATTCCTCTAAGATGTTATAATATGAATGCAATAAATTTCGAACCATGTCCGCAGTTATACTTATCTAGATAAAATTCGCCTTGGTTTCTTTAAGATAGCGACACCGGTAGCAGCATCAGGTAGTACCTAGATCTTGTCGAGTGCACGGCCATTCAACAAGGTCTGAATGAGTTCGTTTCAAGCGTCTTCTTCAGCACTATCAATTGGTTATATCTCTCGACGTAGTTAAATATGCAGATCCTCTTCACGTAACGTTTATGAGAACTTCGTTAGAATCCCGACCCATGTCATTACATATGAAATTATTATCGTTTTCCATTTCATCTCTGATTCGAGTTTAACAATACTGAATCATACTTTTGCTTTTTATCGGTCACGATTGCTATCAGCCTGTCCAGACCAGTGATGCCAATCTCTATCAGGATTACTTCGCATCGCTTCTTATCGTGTATCATGATATCCGGTCGATTCGCCCTCATTTTAATCGTTGTTCATACTCGCGTTCCACGTTCTCATTAGCAACGATTTCCTGAACAGAATGGCTCCGCATGGTGGGAATGTTTTAAGACCATACTTTTTGCAGTCTTAAATGGATACATCGCAGAGTCTCAGGGTATTCTAGTGTACTCATGATATAGACTTTTCATACTGCGTCGCTAGATGGTCTACCGTCTTTACACGTTCTCTACAATGCGGGTTCGTAATTTTCTCAGTTTCATATATGTTTGTCTTCCAGTTCCAACTTCATCTTAAGAAATAGTGTTTCTGCATCGTAGCCACATAAATGAAACAACTATAGACGAAATCTTATTTGTCGGAATCTTGTATAGCTTTGCATGACGAGTTTTCTGTTCTATCGCTATACAAGAGCACCTTGTGGGCTGTTGATACGTCTCAACAGTTGAATTCTCTGCGAGGTTGCACTTCATCGTTAGATAGGGCGCAATAATTGTCAAATTCGTGTTATGAGCTTTCTCCTGCTTCAGAATCGCTGCCCCTGGTACAAATGGGTGCGGTATCTACAAGAACACTATGTAGCTGAAGCACAGGTTCACTCTTCTGCTCAACATTATGAAGTCCACGTCCTAACTCGTCCCCTGGCAGGAGCAGTCTTTCCAAGCATGTAGGTTGCTTGTGAATTCCGTATTTGATTAGTAACTGTTTGATATCGTAGTCTATAGCCTTGAAGTCTTCTAACTCCAGCTTGACCATCTCGATGTAATCATTTATTAAACTTATGGCGTGCTCATTCACAGCCTTGAATAAGTTCTTGCCATTAAGTGCAGTTTTCTCTAATCGCTCAATTTTTCTACTGTTTCTACTTCTGCACTTTGTGAGATAGATCAACAGTTCGCTATATATGATTAAAATTGAAAATGGTTGTACAAATAAAAATTTTTTTACATACATTACAACCAGTTCATTACATTAGCAGAGAAAATTTCACAGAGTTGCTGTAAAACAGTATGACAAGGTTCACAATAATTTGGAATTCATGTATGGAAGAATAAGTGATACTTTGTTATCCGATGAAATAAGGAAGATCCAAGAGACCATTTTCAGCACACTAAATTCAGTACAAATCTTGAAAATAATGTCGTGAAATATTTGTGAAAAATATAATGAAAATCAAAACATTTATGTCAAGCATGGACGAAAGAAAGTAAACAGACATAAAAAAGTTAGCTAAATTAGAAGAATAACAAAGTATTAGAATTTCAGTTGATGATAATAAAAACTTGACGGCTCCCAATCTGGCTGTCTCATCGTTTTGCATCAAATAAGCCTCGTTGAAATTTCGTAACAGATTTTTCTGACGAGAGATTGGATGATCTGAAAATAATTTAAATTGCAGCCCAACAGATTTCTTATGTATCCCTCCCGTAAAGGACCTATTATACGGTGCTGACATGGAAAACACTGCACTAAATGCAATACAGAGTTTGCTCACTTCTTCGTCTTTGAATTTCATTCAAATATGAAAATTTAAGATGTTTTACACAATAAACTCAACACCAAATCTTCCAGTAATATATATTGGATTCAACTACATTATTTAAAAATAGTATATGAGCCTCATGTGCTTCTGTAGTTATATCAGAAAAAAACTAGCTTTAAATTTTATATCTCTTAATTGAAGCTACATACTTCAGATCAATGACAATTTCCTCTCTAGCCAAAGGGCTAACCGCAATTAGTGTAGATGGTTGTTTTCGCGTTGTCAAATTATGCGCCATTCCTGACATTTTATGCTTCAAATCCTAAGAAACATCAATGTGAGAAAAATGCAGAAAGAGAGGAAAAACTTATGTCTTGCCACTAAAACTGCACAAGTGAAAAAATAGAGCTTTTATCTACCTTCCTCATATACCACATTAAAGATTAATTTCGCTTGATTTTTTTTTAATCACCTGGATGACAACATAAACATGCTGATAACATAAAATTGCTAATAGTATTATCAAAAGTTTCATCATCATGAGAACTAAAAACCAATTTACCCAACTCTTACTGTACCTGCAAGGAACGTGGCCGACTTGCATACGGTAGTGACAGCGGCGATGGAGATATCAGTTTTCTATCAGTTTTGTTTGATGAATCTACGTCTGATAACCTTTTCAGCGGTGCGGCGCCAGAGCTCTTTGCAGTAACTACTGATAATGTAGTTGATGAATCTGTAGCAGTACTCGCACTGCTGTAAAATTTCACAAAATTTTACTTTACAAAACTGCAACTCTAAATGAAAAAATCTCATGAATTTTATAGTTAGTAAATAAAACGAAAAACTGATTATTACAAATATATGAAACAATGCTCCATTCCACGCACAGTATGAATGTCTAGAACTTTGATTTTCAACCTAACCTCAGCTGTATTCCATCTTGACTAGACACCGATCGTGGAATGAAAGTTTGTTTTTGAGATGAACTTCCTGGTATAATATCATTGCTAGTTCTTTTGCCACTTAGCCTACGAAGAAGTGAGGACTTTCGTGTTCTCTTTTCTAGTTGAACACGACGTTGTGCTTTCCTTGGCTTTTTCTTAGCAAGCTTACCAACCGTTTGACGCGGTGCACCTTCGCGAATAGATGTTAATGAAAGTGGAGTTGTCTGTAAGCTTAAGATTGCGTAAAACTTCCCCATTAAAAATATCTTGAGTTGTTTCATGAAAGCAAAAGAATTCGAAGATCCAACAACTAAAAAAAATAAAATATTTGATTTGTAAGCAAGAAGAATAAAATAACTGCACAAAATTTAATCTCAGATTTCTACTTATTATACTCTAAAAACCATGAAATGGTGTTCTGACATGATTTTTTAAATTTCGGAACAACTGTAATATTACACACTTGAACCTGATTACTTAAAAAAACTGTAGCAATAGATAAAACGACATACTTTTAAGGACAGCTCACTTCCATACGCAAGAAGCCGGTGCATCAATTCTGGATGTGTAAAATTGGATACAGGTTGTGAATGAACGTGTGTGATGAGGTCATTTTGTCGTATGCCAGCTTGGTGAGCTGGTGAACCCTCCTCTACTTTTGTTATTAAATGCTCAATGGTGTAGAAATCTGATTGTTCACCCAAATAGACGCGCACTGAACGAATTGTAAAACCAAAACCTTTCGGTCCCTTTCTAGAATGAAAAGCACCCACCATTGAGTTTTAAACTACCAATACGTTTATCTTTTTCTATAGAAGTCCTGCACATTACCTAATTATGATTGGTGCTCTGAATACTACATTCTGTTCTATACTTGATGCAGCATTTACCAGCGAACTAGAAGCCATGCCATCAAATGATGAAGCACTTGATGCTGAACCAGGCGGTGAATACTGAGTCAACAAAAGCGAGGGTTGTTTTGGAATTTCAAGCTGTAGAATTTGATCCTGTTCAACAAATTATTTATTCTGATTCTAAAGAACCATTAACATACATACATAAAATTTAGGAATTTGAAACTGAATTTCATGAATGCCTAAAGTAAATCAACCGTTTGATTTCTGACCACTTATTGAAAAAGAGCAATAACTCACTGAATCAATCATGACTGCACCAGACGTAGATCGCGATTCCTTCACAGGCGAAAGTTCTTTCTTACTATTACAATTGCTACCAGTAATGTTAGGTTCGCAAGTCATCGAAAACCTATAGAACTAGACGTCTTGTAGCGATGATAGTCGCAACAATAAACATTGAAATTGGCTCAATCATTCAATTATAAAACAGCAATTCCAATTTCACTCTTTTAATTATAAAAAGTTACCGAGGCAAAAATGAAGCCGCAGAATTGCCCTTTCGGAAACATTCAATATAAGGTATAGGTTTTGAATATTCCGGAGAAAAATTTGACATGTCAACTGAAGAATCTGTTGATGAACCAGCTACATTTTGATAACCATTTCCATTTGTTCCAGTGGTTGCTGATAAACTATTTTGATGCTGAGATGAGAAAAATTTTCTGAGTAGCATCCCCTTGAACATGAAGATATTGCCAAGAAATATTCACAACATGAATGGAGATTGAACATGCTATACGTATTTTGAATATTTTTTAACGCAAAAAATTTCTTATACATAACATGTTTATAATTATGCATCGACATGTACAACTAATGTGAATATTGTGTTACTAAAACTTTATCAGAAAAATACCAAAGAAAAAATGAACTGACCGATGGTGGTAAACTAGCATGTTTAACATCCACTTTATTTTCGCTCAAATCTCCTAGTAATTGTCGATTTACTGAAGCAGGATCAATCCGAGAATTTCTTGTATTCTCTATAGTCACATTCTACAAGATTTAGCAAATTCAGAGTATTATATATCCCATTCGCTTTGTGTAAGAAAAATAAGAAGGATCTCAAAACCTAGCACTTGATCAAGAGACATCGAAAAAAAACTGAAAAAACAGACGGTAAAACAAAAGAGGGCAGCACAATGACTATAATCGTATTGCCTGAGCACACGTAAAGATAATTAATAAATTAAATTCTAAAGACATTTTTCATAGCTTGAAAAAAGGAAAATGTAAAATCTCGAAAACATTTCGCTAAAATATTAAACACCTGCGTTGTATGAAGTTGTTCGTTATTAATCACTGAATGCCGTGGTGATGCAGTATCAAAAGAACCGAACATGGGTGCGTTATCTTCATCACCACTATCCGCGTCGTGGTTATATCTTAAAAATAGAAAAACAATATATTAAGTCTAATAGTTCCAAAAAAGATGTATTTCAATGAAATGACCATGAAGATTTACGAAATTTAATTAGCGAATATAGAGTTTTTTACAGAAGAAATAGTAAAGTGCAACTTGACCTGCTTAAACAAAAATTTCAAGTAGGAGGCAGCAAACAGAAGAAATGACGGTCATCTAATTAAATGACAGAAAAAGAATTACATTGAAATAAAGCATAAAAACAAATTACGATCAATTTTTTTCCTCAGTAAGGACTGTAACATAAATTTGTCGCCATTTTATTTTAAAATTTTCCCAGTGAAGACTTACATTTGAATCTTTAAATTTTAGGATACTTGAAAATTGACTAAGAAAAAAATTTTGCTAAAATATATGACCAGTAAATACAGTTAAAAACAAACCGGTCATTCCTAGCATCAAAGTACGACGTATCTTCTTCTCCTTCTAACTGCGGAACAAATTCTGCTTTTTGGCGTAATAATGATTTGAAATTCAATTCCGCAAAAAACGGATCAGTCATGAGCTGAAAATAAAACGGAAAAAATATTCAGCATTACTTAAGTGATACTGAATTATGTGAACTGCTGAAACTAATTATGAACTAAAGATGCGTGGAAAATATACACATAAATTTAATGGTGGAAACCTGTTGTGCACCACCAACAGTTCCAAGCCGTTCTACTGGATCTTTTTCCAACAAACGTCTAATCAGAGATTCGGCTTCAGTTGAAAGTGCTTCTTCATCTTCAGGAAACTCTGCTTCTTCTTTGAAAAATTTCTTTAATAAAGATGCACAAAACCTGAATTTCCCTTGTGTTCCAAAAAATATTCCTTTAGTCACTAATTACTCAAAAACATTAACTGACCATTAACAACTTTAGAAAATAAAAGTTCCGAAGTTTCAGCCATAAATGGTACGATTCCAATCAGGAATTCGTATAGAATGACACCGAGTGCCCACCAATCGACAGGCTTACCTAAATATGTATTTAGTAATTTATATATATATTGATATAAAATTTCGAACACAAAGTTCTGCATTTGATGAAGTTCCACCATAAATAAATAGCTGATAAACTAACCATATCCTTGTCTTAAAATTACTTCTGGTGCAATATATTCAGGAGTACCACAAAGTTGTTTATCCTTGAACTGCTGTGTATCAGAAATATCTATATAATCTTCACATAATAACGTTGCGCGATTCATTAGCCCAATTTTTGAAAGCCCGAAATCAGTCAGTTTTATATGACCCATGGCTGTTATCAGCAAGCTAGAAATGAAGCAAGAATAATGTTATGAAGCTACGAATTCTCAACATAACTTCATTTCATAACGTTTTCTAATATAAAATGGAAATGAACTCACTTATCTGGTTTTAAATCCCGGTGCACGATACCATAAGAATGGAGATAATCAACAGCAAGAACAGTTTCTGCAATATACAACCGTGCCGCATCAAGTGGTAGCGTTCCCGCTTTTTTCAGTAATGCTGCACAGTCTCCTCCTTCTACATATTCCATAAGCATACACAAATGATGACGTGTTTCAAAGGAACCATAGAATGACACAACAAATGGGTTGTCCGTAAATGTCAATATATCTCTTTCAGCATAAACCTGGGAGAATTGATCCCTTACATATACCGTATTCAGATTTGTCAATTATGGAACAAACTAAATAAATTATAAGATTAAAGTACTTGATTTATTTGATTACGCATGAGTAAGGTTTGTTTCTTCATTCGTTTTAGTGCAAATCGTTGACGGGTATCCTTATGCCGTACCAAGTATACGGCACCGTATGCACCATTGCTTATCAACTAAACAAAATGTTTGAAAAAAGTATATTTTAACACCAGTTCTCAGTTTGAATGAAATTACAGTACTACTAAACATAAAATACGACATCGTCTGAAAGACTAATACTTGAGTGCAAGACGAAATTTTATGAGGGCTTTTTATATCGGAACATTAATATTTCGATATACTTCAGTAAACTAGCTAAGGTAAAAGCTTATCAGTGTGCACAGAAAATTAGTAATTCACATATCTTTAAATTAGATGTAACGTTTCAAAATTTTTAATGACATCTCTCAATTATCGTAATCTATTGACATTTTTTGAACAATACAATTTTCAGATAAATTTACTTGCCCGGACTGTCTCATAATCATCTTCAGATGGTGCGCGTCTTTCACATGATTCACATTCCATATCCAAAAGTGAATGAGTTACATCATCATCACCAAAACTTGATGGCGCTTTGGGACTCTGCTTTGCCTGAAAACTAAGCGGAAACAACACTGAAACGTAATTTTATCAAAATTTTAATAAGAATACGGAGTTGCTAATATGATTTCAAAAATAATATCTAATTTCATTTACATACTCATCAAATCAATACTCACAAAATAAAAGTATCTAAACAAGAAGGGTATTTTCAAACCCTATCTTTTCAGATGGACATATTGAACGCAATTTGTTACTAAAAAATAGAACGAGAAAAGTTAGAAAAAGGTCTTACTTCCGAAACATCAACTGTAGGTCCAGACATCAAATTTTTATCTAGACCAAGTTTGCTTATTATATACTGCGGTAAATCTGGAACTTTAGCATCACCTGCTCCCAGCTTTTCCCGAACTGCCCCTTCCGCTTCTTGTAAAAGATGATAGAACTGATCGGGATCAAACTCCTTAAAAATTTTAATTTTTCATTCCATTGATTAAGTGATTGGTAAAACTAAGCACTTCAAAAAAATATATATATAAATAAGACGAGTACCAAGCATTCTAATATGCGCGCTGGTCCCGAAATTATGATGAGCATACGTTTCACCATTTTAGATAAAAAAGCAAAGCTTTCAGGAGATGTTTTCTCATGTGCTTCAGCAAGAACAGTTTCCAGCTTACGAGAAACTTCTGAGAAATAGGAGGTATTTGTGAGATCATCTCTTGACTTTGATAAACAGTCTAAAAAATTAATATCTGCAGACCGTAAATCTTTTTTGATATCATTCACTGAAAATCTGAATATCATAAAAGTTCCAGCTTCCATTATTGTGAAAAATGAACGATAGTCCCCGATGTTTACAGATAAGTTTCATTCTCAAAATAGCGTATTAGTATAATCAAATAAATTGCGGAGCTTTTTAATTTTAAAATTTTGGAGACTTCAAATGGATGAAATACCATTAGCGATTTCAACAAGCTGATGATGCAGAAATCGAGTAGCACCATCTGATATCAGCCGTATTCTGAAATCACCTTCCACACTTTCAGAAACTAAAGAACGATGAACAATTGATGAGTTCGACGATGAATCGATCAAATTGTTTTCCAAAGGCATACTTTCTGGCTGTAATGTTATATCCAAAGATGTGGTGCCGGATAATGGTGCATTTTCGTCGATTAACTGAGCAAGTTGCTCTTCCATTTGTTGCTTTGCCTGAAAATGTGATGCAAAAAAATTCATCTTATTCCATGTCCTTTTTTCCTTTCTTCTCTACCTTAAATTTGGCGCAAAATTGCAAAACTAATTTCAAAATACGGATGAAACGCGACCAAATTATCAAAACTCTGTATCTGAACTATAAATGCTGAGAAAACGACATGTCTACTACATTTAAAACATCACTGAAGCTCGATTACTTTTGGAAAGCGCTCTTTATATATTCCTTTACGGACAATTACATTACATGCTGAATCGGATCCGAAATTGACCGAATTTCTGAAAATCCAAAACAAGTTATAATTCTACTACACGCATACTTTTGAAAACTGAATGAATGATCCATGAAAACAAGTAAACACAGAAGCCTGATTTCCTGAATATTTTGTATATCCATGTAATAATTATTTGATTATTCAAATTTATCTAATAAATACAGTATGAGGAAAAGATCCAATAAGTGAAGAGAACGAATTTCCCATCATAAAAAAGCAAAACTCTTTCGACTTACGTTAAACTACGAGAACGAAAACGATTTTGCCCCAAAAAATCATCATTTGAATTCTCAGCACTACTAAATCGAAAATCATTCAGGATATCACAAAGTTGCTCTTGTGATGAGTACTCACTCTAAAATTCTTAAAGTATTCCATCATTTCGAAGAGTTATGAAAAATATATTTAAGACACGAGCCTTTTTTTAAAAAGCAATGAATTACTTTGAATCATAACTCCTCCCATCCGGAGAAGTTTGCTTGCCATGGTATAAAATCATCAGATAAACAAAATAAAGTCACTAAATCTACTTTGATTAGAAGATCTGCTGCATTATTTCCGTGATTTGAAATGCCTTTATATGCTTTTTCTTACTAGAAGCATGATGCACATACGATAGTAGACAAAGAAAACTTTCAAGACCAAACATTAACCGAAAATGCAGAGATGCTTCCAGGTGTCCAATAACCACTTGATGATGGAAGCGATGCAACCGACCAGCGTCTGCTTTCTTGAGTAGGAGCAATTAACGACGATGTAATGCGAGAGCTATTTGTTCTGAAAGAATAGCATATATACATAGAAGTCCTTACATTCTCGAAGAAAATTTTTAGTGCTAAAAATTGGAAGGTAGGAAAACTTAAGCTAACCTGAACGGCACTGTAACTGGAATCGTTTTTACATTATGAGGGAAACAACTCGGTACAATCCGGATAGGTGACTGACATCTTCGAGCCAAAATCGGAGAAGCTGATGCATTCAAACTTCGGCGACATCCAAGACTGCTAGATGATGAATAAGAATGATCCCCTTCTTTTTTCTAAAATTGACGTTTCATGTTCTGTTGCCTTCAAACACAGTATATATCTTTGGACATCAATCTTTAGAAAAAAATGAACTGAAAAATAAAATACCAATGCCTTCCACAACGTATGCTTAAAACATATGATCAGGAAGCGAATTACGATAATCTACTAAAATAGTAGGGAAGAAGAAAACCATACTCTTAGGCGGACGGAAGACTGAAACGATGCAGAAATTTGTGGATCTGAATGACCCAAAGAAGAATTACGGAGTCGCATCAAATTCCCAGATGTTGCAGTTTGATTTGAACATGAAGAATCAACGGATGTTTGACTAAGCATATCTTCAAAACAGACATAGAAACAGAAAACATATGTAGCATACATCATATAATCTCACTGTGATATTGATTATACATATATTCAAACTTTGAAATAAGCAAAAATCATCCTGTTAAAGACTTCAATTGAGGTAATTACAGATTTCATTCACGTAAGTTTAAAGAAATCACCAAAACTATCTTTCCAGAATGATTGTTAATAGTAATCGCAAAACAGAAAATTAGGATTAAAGAAAAACAACGTTGCAAGTGACAATGACCCCAGCCTCAGAAATGAGTAAAACCGAGATGTGAAAGAAACAGAAGTGCAGCGATAAGAGATAAAAAGGAACATGAATGTCCAGTATTCATAGAAATGAACATTTTCTGAGACTTGAATATCGATTTCTAGGAATAAAAGGACACAGTGCCTTTTATGCAGTTAATTGACATAGCAAAGCGAGTGAGAGCTCTTCAGTTTGTTCTCATTAATTTTCCCTCACGTCAAGAAACATCTAAACGAACTTAAACAAGTTCATATTTAATCAGCGCAACAAATTTGATCAAATATACGTAGATGTATTTGAAATCAGAAGTAGGGGAAAATGTGGTTATTCTCATAATTATTCAAACCACGTTATTTTCGGATACATAAGCTTGAATAAAAACGAAAACGTTGACATTGTTATCCTCATGGTGAGGTTTGCTAAATATGATGTAGCAGCTTCGCAAAGAAGCAAACAGGAATTTAATAAATGATGATCAAAGAACAAGAACTTGTAAACACAAGTACATCACACTAATCAGTTTTCTTAGTTACACTACTTCTTTCATCTCACCTTGTACTGGAAATTACAACAACCAAATATAACCTAAAATGTCTTAAAACTTAAATGTCTTTCCGGCCAAACCAGTTTTTTGCCGCGGCTAGAATGGTCATTCTAGTATCTTGATGCCCATAGTACTTGACGAAAAACCATGAGATTTAGTGACGACGTTCACGACATGAAACATCAAAACATTAAGAACGTGTGGTTCTTATCAGACACCTTTTCCTTTGCAACTGGGTTGCTGCGAAAAATATTTGCACGGAGAGAAAAGAGTATGAAAATATGGCCATATTTTATGAAAAAAGACCTTTAGAAGGAATGAGTGTCGGGTTGGATATATTTTTGATCGTGACTTGCAACATTCTTCGCTTGGCTCAGAATTTTGGGTTGAAAGTGAGTGACTGAAGCAAGGCAGTACTGGCGAATAAATATGCAGTGGCTTGAAAAACAATCACCTGTCTCAGTAGATATGTTATACCGAAAATTCCATTTCGTTTCCAAGTCACAATACATAACAATGGAATGAATGCATTAGGATAAAGTCATAAAAGTTTTGAGTTATTAGCACTTTTTCACATTTCTTCAATTATGCTTCCACTTTTAAAACTTTTCTTAAATGCAATGATTTAACGCTTGCATGTCTCTCATTACCACTAAAACAACAATATATTACACGTAGAGTAATGTCCAAAATAATCCTTCACTACTACACTAAACATACACTGAAAAAGATTTTACATCTGCTGGCTCTTCTTGCAATGTGATGGAGTATCAGCTGATCCAAATTATTGACAACAACAAGCAGCTAATGCAGAGTTTTTCCTGTAGCGCAGGTTTCCAATATTTTTTTATCACTATGCGATATCACGCAATTGTTACCACTCATTACATCAATGATATCATTACTACATGAAACCATGACGTTCATTATTTTAGCCTGAAATTGTGGAAGAAATCGCATTGTAAAAATAAGGACAAATAAATTAACAAAGCTATATGAGTGATGGAAAGATATTAGCTGAGAAGGAAATAATCTTATTAAAAAAATAGTTTTAGTCCGGGTTTGAACATTACTTGAGACTTAATGGGAATGTAAGAGCAATGATACTAACAATCATGTGAAAATTCTGAATAAATGAAAGATAACAACTAAAAAGAAGCCCAGTTTCAACAATACTCTAAAAACATATCATGAAATTTCATTTTGCAATCCTTTGCTTGAAAATAAAAAATCGGTTAAATGGAGGAAAGCATGATTACCACTCCTTTTATGAGTCAAAACATACAAATGGAGACAGAAGTAGATTCACATTCCAGAAAATTGAATTAAGCAAAGAACTGATTTATTTTTCTGATATATTTGATGAAATACATGTGTACTACACCAAACTGAGCTTAAACTTGATAATTTTATCACAAATATTAATTACATTTAAAAAAGATACAACGCAGGAACAGATGGTAAGGTAAACAAAACGTTTCCTTCAATATGTGTGCTATGTGAAATGGAGTATTGTTTGGAAACAATTAAGAGTTACACCAAGTTCACTATATAATTTGGCAAGCTTCCTATCTCACTGAGATAATAATTCTAGCAAATAAATAGCAAAGATCTGCCCAGAAAGGAATAAACAATAATTAAGTATGAAACAATTATGAAAGACAGTAACTGAAAGATAAATCGTACAAAATTAGCAGTAAATTGAAATTCCTATTAACGTATAACTGAATTCTATATATTCTCTACCTGTATTCGGTAATATTTTGTCATCTAAAACTTGATGATACCACATCTTTATACTAACTACACTGCTATTTGCAACTGATACACTAGCAACAAACTGGGGTCTACCTTGCTTATAACAATTAGCATTGAAGTTTGCGACAAACATAACTCACTGATGCTACTTAACTCAAGTGTTCGCAATCTGTAATTACAAAAAATAAGATTCTAGCAAATAATGTGAAACAATAGTGGCTGATACATGCAGTCTCGGTTAATATTGGTAACTGCATCTGAAGACTTATGGAGTTGAAAGGAATACAACATTCATGTGTATATAATAAATGCATAAGTTTAGAACGAAACACATTGAATTTAATTTGGTGCAAATACCTTAATGATTCTGTGCTATCATGAATCAATATATGCCATATTCTGTGACACATACCACTTCCCACCCTGAAATATATTACAGATACGTACATAGCGAAAAGCACACCAACTCATCTTCAGAATACTGAACGTTACTTTGATATCTTGCAATCTTACAATACTGTTCGAAATGTGGCAAAGATTGCAGAAATACAATCAATAAAAGGCGCTAGTCGACAGTTTACGGATATAATTGTGAAATGGACGACGAAAATACAGCAAATAATTCCCATGAACGAAATTAATAACCGACAAATTGAATCAAGCTTAGATAGAATTGAACTGATATCAATTCCACTCAATGCTATGTAAAAACCGCACTATCAACTCCATGGTTTGCCTATCTTGGATGGGAACTACTGTTTTCATACCGTCTTTGAAACTTTTTAATGGTTCATGAGGTTGAAATATGTATGTACTTACTTTAGGATATGAAGGTGTACGTAGTCTTGTATCATTCTGTTTTGCAGTATCTGTTGAATATGTTTACTGGTATGAAGTACTTTTGTTGTATTAGTTTGGGGCATTGCTTCACTCGTGCTTATATTTGTTATTCACTCTGGCTTCTGCTTAATGTATGTGCAGTACTATAATAATGATTAATCCATTGCAATAATTGCAGTAGGTGCGTGGCAAGATATTGTTATTATTGGCAATGCACGATATTGTGTGTGAAAAAATTGAGGATCATCGATATGCCACTTTAATTAAGGTTCTATTGTTCTATCTTGACATTATTTTCATTCAATATTCATCAAATAAAAGCTTTCAGTTGCTATGTGTAAGTAAATCAGTGCTTTATCTTTTGACGTGCGGCATTATGTTATTAGTTGCAGGGCGCCGTATGGGGTGGAGGATTACTAGGCATTATTTTATTCGCTCGAAAAACACGAATGGTAACTAGTTGTTGTCAATTATACACGAGTGTTGAGAGCCTATTTATGAAAATTTTAGATGGTTAAAATTTATAGTCCCTTTCATGTTTCAGAGATTCACTTTCAGATTATTCATAGCTTGATTTTTATTCAGTGTCATTAACTTCCAGTTTGCGAGATATGAAAGGGTGGTAGACATACCTCTTGATGTATATGAGAAAGGCATTCCTCTCAAAGGGATTGTCCGTTCTGTTCATTCTAATGGATATATGAAAGTAGAGCATATACCCACCTTTATGGTGCCCAGTGTTTTATCTAAAAAGCGTTTCCAGGTATTGTATCATATTACTTAAATTGATTATTCATATGACTGCTTATAGCAAGAACAATTTGAATACGCTGATTGTCTAGAGATAGGTGTAGTTTTGAACCACTTTAGAAAATTGTCTAGCCAGGCTTGCTGGATGTCCGACTTGCGGGTCTTGATGTTACGAGTGCTGGTTTCGAGTATCTAACTAGAAATTTGCGTTTGAGAAGCAGAGAAATATTTTTTTCTGCTATAAAACCTACTGAGAATAAGCAATGTGTCGATGCTGAAATATATTTACAGAAAGTTAGTTTATACATTTCATTGCTTAGACCTTTTCTTTGTGATATTATTATTAAAAAAATATGTATTATAAAGTATAAGATACGTCTCTATCAGTTTATAGAAGAAGTTCTTGCAAACTAACCTAAATGTCGATTTGGTGCGCCGTGGTTTTGCGCGTGTGACGTCGCTAACCAACGTGGAACATATGGATACTTTGAAAACTAATGCCTCATATTCTAGACTAGTATCGAAGCTGATTATGTCTGAAAAGGTTTGAGTTTTGAATAAATTGGTTGAATCATTTCTCTAGAAAATAAATCACACTGAATTCAGGTTTTCAAGTTGTTTTTAGTCATTTGTGTAATTTACTGAAATAAGATATCCGAGGCTTTTTAGATAGCTGAACGTAGAGGACTCGGTTTATGGGCTTGCGACACATGGGCTGAAACAGTGTTTTCCTATCCTGCAGCGTTCAAACAAATTGTTCTCTCTACAGCAGTAATTAGATTTTTGGTATTTTTTTGCACTTCTGAAAAACACGAAAATATGAATACATTATGGTAAGGAAAGAATTGATTTTAACTGGCACCATTCACTTAATTTTGGTATCTGTTGAATTTGTGCACTGTCATTTCAATTGGCATTAAGTTTTTACGAGATCTACAACTATTTAACTATTTCATTTCCAAGTTTATAGTTTCAACTTATCGCATGTCTCATGATGAACAGAGTTCAGTTATGTATTATGAAATATGTTTAAGGTTTTAACTGTTGTTGTTGGAAAAAAACTAATCACAGAAGGAAGCCATTTGTCGAAGCAGGCATTCAGATTCACTGTCGCTCTGAATCGATATTTACATATCATTGTTCAGCAACTTGTGAATGCAATACTGGAACTAAGCAGAATCATGAAGAAAAAAATAAACGATCTTTTAACAAGATAGTTGACTTTCATATAGGCAATTAGTGTATTATAAGTTACTCGAAATTACCGGCTGTAAACTTTATCTTATTAGATGCTTTCTCTTTTTTAATTATTTTGAAGTTTGCAGGAAATGAACTTTTAATTTGCGACATTATTCTTTTTAAATATGTAAGCTGTTGAATTTGCATACGTAATTTATGCCTAATATATTCATGAATCCGCATAAATAATGTATACCTATTTAATTTATTTAATTATTTCATGAAGTAGCTGTTTCAAAAATCAGCTCGTTACATCTGTTTTCATGTCATATGTTGTACACATACGATTTAGACGTTCAGAAATCTTTTTGAGTCCAAAGTTGGGTTGTTACATGTCTTTAGCAAAAAAAATCTTGAAATTTTGTGAATGGTTAATTTAGAAATCTTCAAATTTTGTGAAAGGTTCTTTTTTTTTCTTTCAATGTCAGATCAGTTTGTAATTTTAATTGGGCTGAGAAATTTTTGCAGTTGAAATGAAGTTTGAAAAACTGTTAATAGATGTTGGCCCGAAAGGTCTTGTTCTTGTTGCTGGAGCTGTTGTAGCTGGTATTGGAATCAAGGAATCGCTGTTCTCAGGTATTTACTTGTTCTTTAATGTTGTGTCACTCCAGGTATTGGTTGGTTCAACTTTTATTTGAAAGTCAGTATGGGCTGAACATTTATGAGAAAGACATCTCTAATTTTATTGCATCAGCTTTCTGTCCTTCTGCAATTTGTTTTTGATGTTTCGAAAGAATCATGAGGTTTTATTAGTGTCTGAAATACGGTGTGTAATGCTTGACAACCATTTTGTAGTTGACGCTGGACATCGGGCAATAATGTTCAATAGAATCGGAGGTGTTGGTGATGCTGTTTATAAGGAAGGTCTGCATTTTCGCTTCCCGTGGTTTCAGTATCCTATTGTGTATGATATTCGTGCTCGCCCGAACCAAATTCGTTCACCAACCGGTAGCAAAGATTTGCAGGTACTGAAACTCCAGTTATACGTTTCGAAGTACGTGTTGTAGCATTCATTGCTGTTGTCATTGTAATCACGAGTAATCTTAAAACTACATTTTTGCTTAAATGCTTCAGATGGTAAATATTGGTCTGAGAGTTTTGTCTCGTCCTGACCCTTCTTCATTACCTAAAATTTACCGGATGCTAGGACAAAATTGGGAGGAAAGAATTTTGCCTTCTATTTGCAATGAGGTTCGTTGGTTATGTTTTTGTTCGTTAATACTGTTACATTGAATGGCTTTCTGAAGCTAGTGTATATTATCGCCTTTTAACATGTTTAATACCAGATTTTATATATTGGACTGTTACCCAAGGACCCTAAAATTTCTATGTTTTGGCAGTGACTACTGAATACTTTACTAAGGAGTTCATAATCACGTAGTAATTCTTGTAGTTTATTGAAAGAAGAATATGATAATTTAGATTGTCAAATTAGGATTAGTTGAACTGGTATGACTGTCAGTAGTTTATTAGAACTTCTTGCACATTGCTCGCTGAATGATCAGGAACTACTTATCTTTCATTACTTTGTGGAACTATTCCATGCTTTTTTTTGTACAAATTTTCACAGGTACTTAAAAGCGTAGTAGCGAAATTCAATGCTTCCCAGTTAATCACTCAACGACAACAGGTCTCTTTGCTTGTCCGTAAAGGTCTCATTGGTATGTCCTAATACATAAACTTTCTCTTGGCACTTAGTGATTTATCTCTTTTTCTTGTCTTGTATGAATTTCTATCTTTCTAGCTTTACATAGAAAAGTATGTGGAATTTGATAATTTTGAAGAAAGAGCGCTGGACTTCAACATCATTTTGGATGACGTGGCCATCACTGAATTAGCATTTTCGCCACAGTATTCTGCAGCAGTAGAAGCCAAACAAGTTGCTGCTCAAGAAGCGCAGAGGGCATCATTCTTGGTAGAAAGAGCTAAACAGCAAAGACAAGAAAAAATTGTACAGGCTGAAGGTGAAGCACAATCTGCCAAACTTGTAAGGTTTTTGCGTTGTTCGTGCCTAGAAGTTCGTGAAATTGTGTTCTTAATGTTGTCGTTAATCTTGGCGAAACCTAGCAATGATAAAGTTCTCGCTGTAAAAAACGACACAAATTATAAGAGTGCATTCACTAAGACATCATGTATAAAAAGAGAACATTGGATGTTTTGAGTACTTTCGCTGTACACACATTATTCTTTACTATTGACATCGTGCATCTACAATTTTGTGTCTAGTCTCATTTACTATTTCCTAAATTGATTTCAGATAGGTGAAGCGATGAAGCAAGACCCTGGCTTCTTAAAACTCCGTAAAATCCGCGCTGCTCAAAAAATCTCAAAGACTATATCGGAATCAGCAAACAATAGAGTACGTTAATAGAGCAAATTTTTGAAATATAATAAATCAAATTTTATTATGTCTTGATTTTTTCAGGTGTATTTGCCATCTGGTGGCCTTATGCTGAATATAGCAGATGAAGATTACTTGTGTGTTGAGGGTAAAAACAAGTTAAAGCGGTAAGAATTCTGAAAGAACTCGTTCTAGGGGTTTCTCAATGTCATCAAGACTTTTGCTAACTTATGAATTTTTTATTTCCGTTGTCTTTTTAGTTCACTTTAGATCTTTTCTTTCAAGTATAATGACATTTAAAATAAAAAATTGTTTTGGTACATAAAAAGGCAATGTTTAGGCATATACTATGCGGAGTAATTATTTTTGAAAATGATTTGTTAAAGATTTTTGATGTATAGGATTTGTTTTTATACCTATGAACTTACTATATGGCACAACGGAGAAAAAACTTCATGCATTATAACATGTCAGTATTTACACCAACCTCCCAGTTTCTGTACTTCTCCATAAGACCAAGACGAAAACACTTTTTGATTTTTTCGAGTACGCTCCAGCAAGGAAGCATACTGATATCGATCTGCAAGTTTCGCATCTTCATTAAATTAAAGAAATTCAGTTACTACACATGTATTAGAACAGTGGATGGTATATTGCTTTGTTGAGAAAATATATACGATTGATCATTAGCAACCTCCATTTCAAATCCTGGTGACATTTTACAGAACTGCAAACATTTATCGCCTGCTGTCGTTTTCTGCACTCCATTTGCTCTGCAGCAGTACGTGTGGTCAGTATCTTGAGCGGCGCAAGACAATAATTTTCGACCATTACTCTGTGGGCATGAATCTGCTCCGAGAAGCATTGTTGTTAGCTAAAGTGTAATTATTAATCCAAACAAGTAAATTAGGTAACGAATGGAAGAGATAAACTCATGTTAGTGATAGGAAAGTAATAGTAAACTAGGCTGTCAGTGATGGGTTCAGGTCTTATTGGAAACATTGCATATAGAGATTGCGATTGTTCATTAACTTGTACAGTGAGTGACGTGTATTAGGTATTTTAATTAATTGAATGCTGATGCAGTACCCTGTGCGTTTCATTAAAATTTGTTGATATGTATAATGCATAGAACTCTTAAGGAAAGGGAAGGCGTAACTGTTGTGTGGAAGTTTTAGTGAACACTTCGGTATAAGACTGTAGTAACAAGTCGGTCACGTGTAGAACAGATATTGAAATTTATTAGTACTGTTTTGATCATTAGTCTACACTATCATATAGCTAAACAAATGTGAAACTTGGAACAAAGTTTAGTAAAATCTAATTCCTACTTCTTCCTATCATTATTTATTCGGTTGCAAATTATAACATGACAATTTTGTATCTCAATGGGACTCATTTGACGTTCAGTACATCAATTCCAGTAACCGTTCATAAAGATCTTTTTGAAAAAATAAGATTACCACTCTGCGGTTCAGTACTTCAAAATTACAGCGTGACTCACACGAAACGTCAACAGCTCTATCTTTGCAGCATTTCAAGAAAGCATCATTGCCATTCTGAAATACCAACTGCTGTCACATCCCATCTATTAGATGATGCAGACTTTGCACTTTGAAAAAAATTTCATTTCATGAACAGTGAACAACGACCTTGAAATTTGTGAGCAAATGCCTTAATCTCTTTGGAAATTTTCCCGAGTAATATTTTACTGCCTGAGTGCCCAATCTTGTGGATGTTGACTTCTCGAGAGGAAGTTTTTTCTTTAGCTGACCTGATAATGACAACGATGATGATAATATTGGAATAGTTGTAACAGTTGGCAAACGTGGTACTTCTACGTGAGTACTGATGGGTTGTATCTTGGATACTCGTTCTCTGAAATTTCATTACAATTCGACCACCCTTAATGCATTAATGATTTGCAACCGTTAATTTTAAGGTGGTTCAAATCTTACAGAAAGTAAGGTGGTACAAAGTGCAGCGGTGGTCTGGGTGATAATGTTTTGGACTTCACTTTCGATGTGTCTCGGGAGGTTTCATAATCGATGACAGGTTGCGCAGTTTCAGCAAAAAATTTCGTATGTTCATGATGAGGGGAATACGACTGATTTGATTTTTGGCACAGAAACTGTTGCTCTTTTGATCTTGAGTTTAACCCCGCAGCAAATTCTACACGATTATTTGTATTAGCATGAAACTGTTGTGACTGCTCATGATAACGATGATTTTGGTGAGTTTGATTTTGAATTCGATGTGACCTCCTTTTCGGTAAAACATTTTCTCTGTTTGTGGGTAATTGCTTGGCTGCTGAACGTGAGGTAATAGCGTCTGTGTGTGACGTATGTTCAATAGCTTCCAATCTGTTGCTTACATCATTCACTGTATCTCTTTGATTATATATCCCTGCACCATTCATTAGCAGATCAGCTCCGTACTCACCGTTCGTTGCTCGAAATAACAATTTATGGTTCTGGAACATATTATCCGCAGATCACACACTTGCTACTATCATCAGTCAATAAATTAGTGGACCTATATATCTTTTCGGTTCTATTTGACTGTTATCACAGCTTTTTCTCACTTTTTACAGCATTTCATCCACGTTACTGGCTTCTTCTCTGTTTGATAAATACAGGAAAAATAAGGTGTTTGATGAACACCTTATTTTTCCTGTATTTATTATTCGCTTCAAACCAGCACCTATTTACTCCACCCTTACCATCTATCTATTCGTCTGTATTACTTCATTTCATTATGGAAATTTAGATGAAAAAAATGTATAGGAACGAAAAGATATACAGGTCGACTTAACTGATTATGAATTTGGTGGTAATACAGACGAATTTTTTGAGAAAACTGGAAGAATTTATTTTATCAGTTTGAGCCTATTATGACATGGAGTTACATAATTTCAACTGTTCAACATATTCGGCAAAAGGTAAAAGTACGTTCCTATCATATCAAGCTCCTTTAAAATATTTTAATACAAATCATTATTCTCAGTGCTAAACTCTATCTATTCGAATCCTTTATTATTCATTCGTTTTTAACTAATTAATTTCTTGATTATCGCTCCTTATAACATTCGCTGTGACTGTTTTCCAATATTAGTCATCTACGTATCATCAAAAGCTATTTTGCATTTAATACAAACCGAACGCGGAGTCAATACTGGAATCAAATTTGAATTCGTCGTATTTACGGTCGACAGTTGCATTTCCTGGGAAAATCTTTGGTGGTTGCTTTGTCGTTGGAATTGATACCGTGATGATAAAAATAGTTGGGACTGTGAGGTTAGAAATGAATTATTCCCTGGCTGTCCATAGTGAGGAGGTATTAGCGAAGGTAATGCATAACACCAATTTTGTTGGCCTAATGCGCCTAACATTTTAAAATTAGAATTAACCTACTATTTCACATATTGACTGAATTATAATACCATCCAAATACAGATAAAATTGTGAAATGATGCTCATTTCGCTCATATAAAATAAGGTGTAAATGTGTCAAGATTTAGCTGTAAGACATGAAAAAATATTAATTCTGAACCACGTAAATAAGATAAATCGTAACGAAAGGTAGTTATTTTTATTGATGGCTAGTTACATTATCAAATTCAGTTCTGTGATAATCGGATGACGATTGAAAGAACTGAATAAATTTTCAAGGCTGTTTACGTATATAACCATATATTCCCGATTAAGACGAAATTCTCAGTATTTATTTCTTTACAATAATGTAAAAGTGACCAAAAATACCTGACAGAAATATTGCCAGCACATACATTGCAGCATCAATGTCACGTCTTCCTTCCTCAGAGTCTGCGATTCAATTCATTTAAAATTATGGTCGAAATTTCTGTTCATTTAATGATTAAATAATATGAGAGGTTTTTTCTCACAATTCTACTGCTTGGTTATGTAATAAATTATCGAGCTTTGAAATTAGAAATTTTTGAAAAACTCATATTCTGAGCGACTCAGTTGCTAAGAAATCTAGATTAAAAACTTGTTCACTAATTCACGATTTGCTTGTATTTCTTACCAAAAGTCTTAAAACTAATGCAAAGCAAAATGGAAATGTATATGAAGCTTTAAAATATCCATCTTAGGATTAATTTGCAATATGCCACTAGAATTTTGGACGAAGATTTAAGGGTCTTATTTTAACAGTCAAAAAGGAAAACTGCTCGAAAATGAATGAATGAGTGGAATGCATTCACCTGCAGGAGAACTTTGAATAAAAGTCCAGTTTCATATCACCACGATATCAGCAATGATCAAAATTAATACGACTATAAACTAGTAATTAAAATCGAAATAGGATGTAATCAAGTCCCCAAATTGACGAGTTCTTAGAATTGTACTTCAAAACAAAAATTTGCTAGAGCAATTCGAAACATGTCTCTAATCTTAGGTAGGGAGAGTTGATTATATCAAACATCTATGGTAAATTTGAAAGCAAACAACTCACAAAAAGAACAATGTTTGTGAAGTACTGTGGTACGTTCTTTTTTATTCAGAATTCATAGTTTGATAATTATAATAATCAAGCTCATCCAATTCTTTCCACTGGAAAAACTCGTTAACAGAGATCAAATTTAAAGTGATTATCTTTTGTTTTGCCATCTCTTTTAACTGCAAACAGATGAAACGCGTTTTCGTGTTCAAGCCCGCGAGAGCACTGAATAGAAATGTATTTGATGTAAAATTATTTCAGCACTAATTTTTCCGAATATTTGAAGATGTTAATAGTTTACTTAGTAGATTCCAGGTGGCTAATCACCTCCACTTTTTAATATATTATACAGCGTAATACAGGTTTACATAAATCAAAATGTAGTTCGAACGCATTAGAAGTTATTTACAAACTGCTCAATGTGAACGTTAAAAATTTAAAGACATAATTTGAAAGCTATACTTCGATATTACGTGAACTCTTATTTGAATAATACTAGACCCAAATGTGTAACACCAATTGAAGCCTTCAAAATTAATGGGTTATGAATACTGAAACAAAAGATATTCTGAAATTTTAACATGAAAATTAACCGGCAATTTAAAAGTTGTAAAAGATCACTTTTGAGGTTTCTAATACAAGCTGAACCAGTTATGCAAATGGTGCACTGAATGAAAGCAAAACGAATTTAGAAGTACAGTTTAGGAATCAAACCCGGAAAATATCTGAGCTACTGTATATTTCATTAATACAAAGTACGTGACACGACAACATAGAAAACGAATAAATATGAAAGATTTAACAAAGATTTAAAATTTAAAGAAAAATTGAAACGAAGTTATATGATATTGCGAAATTCATAGAAATAATATTTATCATTCTTATAGACGATATTTACAACAAGTATAGTACTCCCTTAATATTTTATCGGAAGTCATGATGACTTAATCAAGTAAAACAAAGCAAAGCATGTCTCAACTAAATGTAATGAAAATTCTAAAAAACTAAGCCCCAGCTAGCTATATGATAAACTTTTAGCTCATGAAATGGCTGATAATGAATCACCAACTAGTCACTTACGATTTTCCGCTGAAGAGATCAAAATAGGCAGACTAAATGCAAGCATTACAAGGATGAAAGTGATCTTCTGGAAGGCTAAAACATTACATAAATGAAAATCCAGAAACAGTACAAAGATGAAATCATAAGTGACTACTAGTTGATGATCCCTTTGTTACGTAGACTACAGGACGTGACATTTGATAAAATATGCAGCTATTTACAGAACAATTAAAATTGTTAGACAGAGTGACAAACCTGAATTTGGACCAAAATAACTGCAAAGATAATTGATAATCCGCACATAAATGTTATCTCCACTAAATCATTGAAGCAAGTCAACATAGATTTTTGGTTGAAACAAAGGAAATACACTTAAATTATTTAGGAACATCGCTTGCAAAAATTCTGGTCATATATCTCTTTCTGAATGCCGGGGAATCTTCAAGAAGTACTTGCTACAACAGAAGGACCGATGAAATCAGTTATGAAAACATTTTCATTTGATAAAACTAAAAATTACAAGACCAAAATTTGAAAAAAAGGGTCTACATCCAAAGCATAACAAGTATTAGAAGGGATTGGAGTTTAATAAGAGACATAAAAATTATAATTAATTACTTTTGAAAAATAAATGGCTAGAAAAAAAAATTAAATTTTGAAAGAATGGAAAAAGTAAAAAGAAACCAACTACTATTAGCTGATGATTCGTGACTGGGGTCAGCAAGGCAGTATTGTTTCAACCGTATGAACCGGAAACTAATTATAAATGATTAGAAATAACAAGTACTGAATATTAAATGCTAATAGAACAATCGAACAATCAGCTAACTACATGACTTACAAACTAGTCAACAAACCGACTACTCGATCAGTCAGTCAGTCAGTCAGTCAGTCAGTCAACAATACAATCAGTGCAAGAAATGGCGGGTTAAATTCGGTTGCTAAGAAAAGTGCAAAAGAGGAACATGTGTGCATACTGCAACTGCGAAGAAAGAACTACTTTTCGACAACCCTAACCTTAAGAAAGAATAGTTCGGTGTAGTATATGCATGTGTATGTGTGTGTGTGTGTGTGTGTGTGTGCAGGAGAAAAAATGATGATGAGAAACGAAAACTGTTTGACCAGAAGTGAAGGCAAAGCATGACTGTCTCTTTCTCTCAGAGTCGTAATCAAAATCCTTAAGTGACTGAAAATGAGAACGATCGCAACCAAATGCTTTCAGCTGATCCTCAGATGCAGGATATGCTTCGAGCTACTACAAGCGAAAAAAAGACGTCTGTTAAATAAATGCTTAAACGAAGAATGCAAGAAGCAGCATGCAATTCGAAGAGAGGATAGGAAAACTGGTAGTAGCAACAAGTGCCAATGAATGCGAGTCTTGTGCAATTTCAGCGTAAAAAGCGATTTACTTTCACTGTTTTCAATTATTTGAAGACAAGCAAATAGGTATGTAAGTATATATATTCTTCGGCAATCGATGTAGATTCCATGAGGACGAAGCGGAACGATGAGCACAACAAATCAGAGCGCGGGACAAGTACTGCCAGAGTGCCGGAATCCGATCCGGCGTCAGAACCAATAAGGCGAAAACGAAAACTAATTTCCACATTTCTTTTTTCTGAGCTGTAAGTAATGTTCTCAATGCCTCTCTACGCCGCATGCAATAGCATTTGCCTTCGATGGCAGCTGACCACTCCATTCTTCATCATATTTCACACTTACTCACTCCATCTCATCACTTGGTGATCCAGTGCAGTTACATTCAACTTTGCATCGTAAGCAGCTTCTGAAATGGATGCACGCTGACTTGTGTAAGGTTACCAAATAGCTTTTCACATTAGCTCTCTATTCTATGCTAATACTTTCTGAAAGCAGTTATATCCTAAACACATCTATCCTTCTTCTTATTGTTCTTCATCTCAAAAAATTGTCATCTTCGCTTTACTATTTATTCACTTTCAACTGCTTGCCTGCTCTCATCTTGAAATTTTATAAAAATAAACAGATAGCTATTTTCTTTTTAATATTTTAATTAAATAAATGAGTATTCTCGGTAATTGTGCGTGTAATTGCTGATTGTTGAATTTTTAGAACTGGTAGATACATTTTCTTCTTGTTGAGACATGTATTACTTTTTTTCGCAGAACTACAGTGTTGTGCATAAGGGCATCTGTGCTGTGCTTTTTATTTGCGGTATTTTCTGAACGTAGTCATTTTCATTTTTGTGCTGACAATTTTTTTTTTGGAATCAATTTACATGTTATTTGGTCCTGCACTAGTTGTTGTACATGTTCGAAGCATTTTTTATTCTCTTTCCAAGAATGATGGCTTCATTTTTAGTCAAATGTATCAAATGCGATGATGTCGAATAATGAAGTGAAAAAGTTTCTGAAGCACCTGACCAGCATGCATAATTAACGCACTCATTTAATCAAGCAAACGTATTATTATTTTCATTTTAAAAAAAGTTTTACATCCACAAAGCAAATGAATCACATTATACAGAAGCCCTTGATAACAACTTTGTGGTTGGTGCGTACCACTGAAACGTCGAATTTTATCGTCACTTCTATGGCTAATACTACTTCTTTATTCCAGTCATTCAGCACTATTACAACACAGACTCGGCCTGACTATAATTCTGATCATTCAGCAAAGGTTCTGCTCCGTCTTATTTCCATACTTTTCAAAAGCTTATGACAATTGATAAATAGTGACATTTCATGCGATTTTTAAGTTTAATCAGTTGTGGTGGCTGGTAGTTAGTCAACTAGCTCTGTCATATTATCCTTTAAAATAATACATTTACATATTGCAGGAATCTGTATTCAAGCCTAAAAAGGTATTAATTTTATCCAAGATAACACGATTAGAATATGAGAGGCATACTCATCCTTCTGTTGATGAGCTACAGTTGAAAAATGTGGCAAGTTTTGTTTCTTTGTCGTTTCTCGCTTTTTGTCCTACTTTTCTGATCATTAATTTTCCTAGGCAGTGTCTCATTCTGAAGCAGTATTTTCCAGCTCACACGACGTGGATCTAATTATGACAAACTTCTAAAGCGTCATGATGAACATCACCAGTTTTTAAATGTAGTTGTTAACGAACTTAGGTTTGTATGTAACTTTTAAATCAAGGAAAGTATTCAATAAAAGTTTTTCCCTTGTTGCAAAAATTATTGGCTAAAATGTGTTTGTAATGTATTAATAGCTTAATTGTTTGAGTGTCGAGTATTTTCTATTCAGATCTTGTGGTATCGAGACACGTACAGTACAGAGGTTTGACTATAATAATGCTGCGATCTCATGGGCTGATGCTGTTTTTTCTGCTGGCGGAGATGGCACATTTCTCCATGCTGCTTCCAAAGTTTCGTCAACAGAAAAGCCCGTGATTGGGATTAATACCGACCCTACAGGGTAAGTTCATCATTAAAGTATCAAATATCTGTTTTGTAATTTTCTTACGAATTTTCAGTCATCTCAGAATGTTTTTCATCTGCATTTCTTTCCTTTTCCAAATCTTGATTTTTTCAAAACCAGCTGAAACCAGTATTAGTTTGAGAGAGCAGTTTTCATGTAATTATTATTCATAATCATTTATTTGTTTTTGCTTCATCACTGATATTAGTGTTTTAATCAAAAAAGCCTTACTGAAGCTCGGAAGGATATCTTTGTTTGCTGAAGAAATTATCGCACGAATATTTTAGAAATGCTTTAAGACGATTGCTTGCTGGTGATTTCAGGTTTCTTGAGAAATTTGATCTTTTAAAACTTAAATATTGTGGCTGATGCTGTTGTAGAATTATGGCAGTTGGCAAGTATTCGTAGCATTTATCGACTCTGATTGATGTATCGAAAGTTTTATCCCGACACCATTCTTTATGTCATCATTAAAAATTTTTAAATTGTGTTTATAGCCGTGAATACAGTTAAATGACTTTAAAATCCATTTCGAATATCATTTAGGTTTACTGGTAAAATTGCCTTTACTGTCCATTCTTAAGTATGGTTGGGACTTTTTTTATTTAATATAACTGAAAAATTTAGTTGCAGTTCCAGTGGTAATTATTTCGATCATCATTTAGTCTTAAAATTATTTATTAATGCCATATTTTCAGATGGCTGTATCGCCAGCGCATACGTATTTGTATGGAAGGAGATGCGGGAGAAAATGAACCTGTGCATTTACACGATGAGCAACTTCCTTTTCATAATATCGAAAAACAGTACAAATTACTGACTACAGATTGCTATTTTTTGGCAATTTTTAAAGGATATTTATGTTTTTTCTCAATTTCATATGAAGTTATTAGTGGTTCTTGGCTGAAATTTTTTTTTGATATTCAGTTTTTAAATTTAATATTACATATTATTTATTGTTCAGAAAAACTTCAAAATCAAAGAAATCAAAGAATGTTGATGTATTGCATGTATTACCTGAGCCAGTTTTAAACGATGTCTTCATTGGAGAGAATCTGTCATCACGTGCTTCCTACTATGAAATTCAGTGTGATGACGGTGAAATAGTGAAGCAAAAAAGTAGTGGTGTAATTTTATGTACAGGTTCGATTTTCAGAGGTTGGACATTCATTTTCAAAAAAATCAGAGTTCAAAGTTCAATCAATTGTTGACATATCGCGGAAAAATCCAAAAAGTTCAAAGTGAAAAAAAAATCAGTTAGAGAGTTTCCTGAAGCATGGCATGAATTTGAAATGATAGTAAGAATTGTATATGAACTTAGCATTAAGATGCAATCACTGTATATTAGTGCTTTTTATTGTGAACTTCATTTCAAATACATCGCTGGGTGCCAGCACTTATTGTTCAATAACTTCAGTCAGACTTTGTAAAAAGTATTCGCAGCCGTGGCTTTTAACATTTTTAGATATTCTCAGTATAGTTATGAGTGGTGGATATTGCAGGATCAGGTTCAACTGCATGGTATTTCAATATAAACAAAGTTACTGATTATTGCGTATCAGGCATTATTGACATCGCTGCAGAAGAGATTGGTTACAGCTCATTAACAAAGGATAAATCAGTAATACGAAGAATCCGCGACGAATATAACAGTCGTTTGTTGTTCCCACCGGATTGCGCCAGTATTTTTTTGCAGTGATGTCTATCATTTACTAGCAACCAGATTCTTGAAATGTGTTGTTTCACTTTGTACATTTGTTTAGCTCTAATACACTTCAGGTAACTTCCGTCTTATTTAGATATGGCTTATTGTGTCCGTAATCCAATATACAGTATGACATATCCAGAGTTCCCACCTTGTGGGTTAGTGAAACGACTACGTTTACGTTCACACTGTTACGATGCGCATTTGGTTATCGATGGTAGACTTGCTTACAAATTTAATGATGGTGCCGAAGCAGTTTTTGAGGTTTATATACTTATCGCACTGACCATATTCATGCATATTTGCAATGTAAAAGGGCTTGGAGACTGCAAATCTTCTTTCGCATTTTGTTCACATAGTTCAGTCTAAATGGAGGAATGATGAGCTACGCAGACTACAGAGTGTATATTTAGTGTTTTTGTAAATTTACAGGCCTTAGAGTACGCCTTACAACAGTAAATCTCTCTTACCTGAGAGTTTTCTTCCAACAAATTTAGAGCATCCATCACTAATATGATAAGCCTTTTAAGACTTGCTGCGTTTGAATCTTTATCTGTACCTGCGGTCAATATTTCTATACATAATGCTTACAACTTTACAGATCCATCCGGAAGATGCTCTTAAAACTGTGGTGTTTCGGTGATTTGTATCCTGCGTCGTTTTCTACCGTATTTCCATTATTTTAAATTAAATTTCCAGACCGATTGGCCACAGTCACTCTTCTGCAAATTTCTAGTTTTTCGCAGCAGTTATGCAAACAACCTTCTATTCAAATTTGTGAATACTTTGTCACCTTATAACAACGCTTGCTTTTATGTTTTATTTTGCTCACAAATCATTTTTATTTGAGAGATTGTACCATTCTTTAATAAATCAATTCTTTTATTCTGATGAAACCAAAAAATAATATGGTATCAAATGTCGATTAGCATATATGAAACAATTGTTCTGTTTACATTTTAAAAATAGAAACTCGCTATGTAGAACTTAATTAAAAGTTCTCGGAACTGATGCCGTAATACGTGTTGCCATCCGGATCATCATCAGTAGGAAGAACATCCGGTGATGGATCTTCTATAGTGAAAACCTGCAAATAACGAGAACTTGGCGTTGTACAATCAGTTCGTGCTCACAAAAAATATGGGGTTCCAGGAGGAGGCAACAACAGAAAGAAACACCTGATCGGGGTCTAGAAGGTCGGGTGGTACTTCTTGCATCTGCACTGAGGGGGCGTGTCGGATTTGCCTAAGATGGTCAAGAACTTCATGTTTCAAAGCAGCGATATACTGAAATATTCCGTCAGGTAACGCATATGTATTATGCAGAAGAGAATGCGATAGGACTGAAAAATGTTCTAACAAACACCTCTTTGGTATTTTGGTTTTCCTGTCTTTTTGCTAATGTTGGTCTCAATGTGAATTCGGGTGCGAAGAACTGTAAGTATTCTGAAAGCACACGTGTGAAGCTCCCGTAAGTAAGCAAGAGTTTTCTGTTACAAGCTATGACAATAAGCCCAAAAACTTCTTTTTCATATAAATGTGTACCGGTGTTATTAGGGATTTCGTCTGGGATGTCATCTTTCTTGCCTACTAAGATTGCAGTTTCATAAGTCCAACATCGTGCAACATTACGCAGCGTATATCCTCCACCACCAACGGTGAGCATGGGAATTCCCAAACTACGAACAAAATCGACACATTCTCTATAATCATAAATGCCGGAAAAAAATCCAACTACATTACCTTGTCAATAGACAAAAACATTGATCAATGGAACGTAAAGAATTCTGATAGCTAAAGTAATATTCAGTAATTCGAGATATTCAGTAACGCAACCAAAAGATACTAGAATACATGTAATCTCAAATGCAACCTACCCATGACCTGAGAAGCTTAAATTGAAACATCCTAAACGATCACACCCCAACGAATCTGCTCCACATTGCAGTACAATAACAGAAGGATTGAAACAATCAATGACAGCTCGTACAACTGGTTTGAATAACGAATGGTAATCTGAATATGCTATAATTCCGAAATCAACTTGATATTGTGGTCAACTATCTCGCTCATTAAAAATCCTTGTTAAAACTACATAACTAGTCTCTTTAAGATGAAAATAGGAAGCTTGAAGAGGGTTGAGCTCGTTTAACAATTTATAAGATCAGTAGATTCGATACAAAAGACTTGAATAAGTATTAATATTCTGACTCTCATCATCCATTCCTTCTTTCATAGGGACGTTAACTGAATAATAGCGTCCACTATCCTGCCCGACGTCATACATATCTCCAGTTCCCGGGAAAAAATAATTGCCATATTTGTGAAACGAAACGGTCATTACACGATCAGTTAAATAAAATGCTTCCTGAAATTATAAACTTTCTGCAAATAAACTGAAGACCTCAATACAGAGATGGGTGAAAAATACCACGAAACAGTAAGGGAAATGTAGCTCGAAAAATGTAGTTTTCTTCTCAATCATTACATTAGATAGTGTGAAAAGGAGTTAAATATTCAGATGACGGGTTACCTGAACTCCGTCACCATGATGTATATCAATATCGATATAAAGTACACGAGGATGATACTTGAGTAACTCCAAAATACCTATAACAATGTCGTTTACATAGCAAAATCCTGAAGCTTCGCGCTTTTTGGCGTGATGAAGACCACCACTCCAATTGATAGCTATATCACTTAAGCCATGATTTAATCGAGCGACACCTCAATACTTTTATTAATCGACAAGTTATACACAAATTGTACGTGAATTGTGAACAGATACATAAATAAATATTTTTCTCCAAACGTGTTTAAATAATTAAAAAAGTCTGAAAACTAGTTTAACATTTACCGCTAAGAGTTGCTCCCGTATAAAGTGAACAAAATTCGAAAATACCACTAAAAATCGGACAATCTTCACCGATATTATATTGCGAAAAAAGATGTTCAAACTGGTCAGCCGTTCGCGGTGATACTCGTTGCAGAAAATCAACATAATCCCTATACGATTGGTTTTTTAGAAAGATAATTGTTGCTAATTACTTGAACTATTAGAACCAAACATTCTCAAAATACGGAGCGCATCAACTCAATCCTAGGTATAATTCCAGCAGTTTAATACAACGAAGAGAAATATGCTATATTAATGATAAAATTGCAGTCTCGAACTCCTCAAGTAGCCCTAATGAAAAGCAGCAGTTTCCCATATGAGTGAAAAGCGAAATATTTCCACATAGAAATCAGTGCACTCAACTGCAGTACATAATCGTTGGTATTGAGCCAAAGGTATCAACTAACTTGGAATGAAACTGTTCAATTTCAATGGCAGATGCACTTGGTGGTTGAAGAACAAGCATTTCTTTATGCAATCCATAATTTACTACCAAACTGTGGAGAGCTGCTAGACGTTGTGGCTTCATAGGATGTCGCGGGCCATAATGGAAATTCGGCAAGTCATGATGGAAATAATAGCAAACTCTCCTTTTCGAGCTCATTTCTTCACCACACCATTAACTAACAAGTGCCAAACTAAAAGTTTTGCATTGTTCTTGATGCTACAAAACGAACGATAATAGAAGTACAGAATCGACACTTCGAAGCAACCCTTTGAATAAAACGACTAATACCTGCTGCAGAATTCATACGACAGTTAATAAAAAACCCCAACACAAAACTCCACTTTTCAACTCGCTTTATCATTTACTTGTATCTTTTCCAAAACTAATTGAATAACAGTTTAATTGAACTTCCTTACGCCTTTTGACACTTAAATAATAAACACCAATGAAAAGTAAAAATAAGTTTGACAACAATGCTAGAGACCAAATTCCTCAAATTGTGTTTTCAGATACCGATATATTTCAATAATCCAGTGATACCACTGGAGTGATAAAAAAGAAAGCATCATCCATGAGACTAAAACATATACGGCGTAAAAGCCATAAATTTACAGATCATACACAACAATAAGAGCAATGAATTAATTTATAGACCAAATATTATTAAAAAATAATAGCCTAATACTGAATGAAAAACAAACTTCTAACTAAATATGACATCCACTTACAATTCTTGGTGCAAACCAATATTTCTTAGTCATTACTAGTTTGCTACCCTCAACTTCAATGATGAGGCGGCATACGCCAAAATTGACGGAAATTTAAATTGTGGCTAGGCTTTACAGAACGAAAAATCTTACACATTACAATCATGAAAGCAGTTATATTACCATCCACATAGTACACATGTTTGTCTGAGGTATGATGAAAGAAACTGAGACTGCATAAGACGGTCCTTTTGAAAACTTTTTAATGATTGGATGATAACTACCTTGCTTAAATTGCATTTTGTACATTATTGTACTCACAGATGGTTTTGAATGCCTCATACGTTACAAGGCTTTTGAAACTTTTACAGCATCCAGTGCAGTAGGTACAGAAGTAGGACGATGAGGTGAACTTCTACGAGAATGGGGTTGCGAATATAACTCAGCAAGAAGTTGGGCTAATGCAGAACTACTTTCCACTCGTGATAGTGAGAGCCAACTGAGCAAGGATTCGTGACGACGAAGAAGTCTAGAAAAATTAAGGAACAATTCAGTATACACTACGCATCACTGGCAATTAAATGTGCTCGTAATTCAAACTAAATAGAACTTTTACAAAATTCTGAAGAGTAAAATTTATTAAATGACTACATAGGGAACGTAAATGACTGATAACTAAAACAGACACAAAATTTCTAAGAAATAAAAAAAAAGGAAAATTTACCGCCTTGCATCGTTTGAATAACGAGCTAAATTTCTTAAAATCAGACAACTGGTTAATCTTATGCTCTTCGTTACAGGCCCTTCAGGATCGTCCTACAATTATTAAGTATAAACCTCCCTGATAAAAAGTAACTTTAACATTCTGATGCAGCTAAAATAACGAAAAATGTAAATTAGGACGTATAGTATCGTAAGAGAACTTTTCACATTCAGATTAAATCGTTTAGCAACAAAAATAAATGAGAGTCGTGCGTATATCAGTATACTTACAGTAATATCACGAGGAAGGTAATTAAAAGCATGGCGCCGAATAGCTTCAACAGCAGCATTTTTAGAATATCCCGGGTGTTGCACAGCCTCTCGTGGCCTTTCTGGACTGACTGGTTTTAGAGATACCCCACTGCCTGAAAGCAGGTATATTGAGATATCCAAATATGAAAAATCATTTTAAAAGTATAATTTTTTAGGAACTAACTGAAGGGTCAAGAATTCTGATAATAAAAATAAAAATCAAATCAAGAGGCGAACCTTCGCTTCGCTTCCTGGCTGCAGTCTTTAATGCTTCTTCACTACAATGATGATCTTGTAAATGCGTTACCATCGACCACTTAGTGCGTACAGTTGAATCACACCGTGGCCAACGGCATTGCATGCTACGACTTTCATGCAAATGTTCCTTGGTGCAGTGGTAAAGAACAAAACATGCTGATGAGAAGTGCCTGAAGTTCGAATTAGCAATGAAAATTTAAAGAATTATTAAAACAAAATATAACAATAAAACCTCTATATCTACGCCTGGTTTGGACAAATGAAAAAAATAATTGTTTTTTCTCACCTTCCACATCCATTCCATTCGCATAAATAATTTTCAACATTGGCTGTAGATGTTGTTGGTGAAGTATTCGTACATACTGACACTTTCCGTCGTTTAAGAGAAACTGGGGAATCAGAAACAAATGATGCAGAGCAGTAGTCTCGAACAGTTGTCATGGTCGAAGTTGATGGTTGTTGAATCATTTGAGTCTCGTCGCATGTCTTTATGACGTTCACTTTTGATCTTTTCTGATTCATAACATTTAACTGCGCTTCGTGCACAACAATCAAAGAAAAATTCAAATAACTTGTATTCGACATGAATCATCAATACAAATAGAATAGTCTGGGTGAGCCAACTCTTATTTTTCACATTACTTTACAAAAAAACCGATTTCACCACAATTCTTAAATCGATCAATGATAAATCTCACTTCATGAAAATTCGATGGCGGATTCCCATTTGATACTTGACCAACAACACGAAATTGCGTTAATTCACTACTACCAAAACCATTCTCAACACTTTCATTATTAGCAGAGTGTTTCTCACCATTGAGACATTTTACCACAACACTCTTAGCTATCAGCTGCGTCTGTACCTGTAATCTTCTGTAACAGTAAAAAATTTGGCCCACTCCTTGCAAATAAAGTCAAAAAGTAATTTTTAAAAAGATGCAAAAAACAAAAACAAAAACAGAAATAGTTAGACTTCTTGTATGCAAAATAATTTTTTTAGCACTATCTATGTTATGAATTTTTAGAATTTAATCAAAAACAAAAATGAAAATTTTTGACAAAAACTTCCGTTATAATAAGAATGATCAGCACATTTGAAAATTAGTTGCATATACAGATGCATCAAAACCTTTTAAGATTTCATGAGTATCTCAACCTATGACAACCAAAATCTTTGTTTTTGTCGTTACATCAAAATGTGTACTTGGAACGTATGCCGGATTTTAAGTGAATTCACATTAAAATTTTCGGTACAGAAATTAAGCCTCATTCGATTTATAAATGAGTCAACCAAACTTTTTTGTCTCTAAGCCGCAATGATTATTCTTAACTACTCATGAAAATATTACAGAAATTACTGTCACTGAAAATAATTAACACCTGTTGTCCTGGTGACAAACTTGTTGCAGGTTGTACACTTGTTACGCTCAAAAAACTAGATCGCGTCGAACCTTCAGAAAAATTCGATGCTGGCAAATTTGTTCGAGTACTGGCAATCGCTTCTTTCGGCACGCTATAGAAATGAAAGTGCATATTAAAAGGATCAACAATTCAATATGACAAATATGGCGGATAGGAGGAAATGAATAAAGGGAAAATTAAGAAAAAATTTTCCATTCACAGCGGTGGAATATTTTGTACACTACATAAAAAATGATCCGCATAAAAATACTTGGTGTCAATGACTGGAGCAGAAGCGACTAGTGCGATTGCATGTCCGTTTAATATCGTCGGTGTATTCATATTGTCTGCTAACATTTTTTGCACAAGTGGATGATTCGCAACCAGAGATGTATGCGCACATGTATTCGTGGATGCTGTAAAAATATTTCTGATTTTTAAGAACAGACAATTCAAAGGAGACCCCAAGAAACTATATATCCTTATATACTCTCATAGAGGATTTTATTGAACCATCGCAAGTGATTAAAATTAATTTTTCATCTCCAGTGACTGTACTAAGAATTGAAGTTACCAAGAGGGCTTTCATGATTACATGTGTTCGAATGCGGCTTGCACATTTTAATATTCTCAAAAACTGGCAAACTGTTCGCAGATGATGACTGAAGTCGAAGTACAACATTCGGAAATACTGCTCTGTAGTAAGTTCAAATTTTATAGAATCTCAATGCAGGGATGAATAATTCGTACATGAAAACACAACTAGCATAATACAACAGTAACCATTTATATTTATATGCAGCAATAAGGGAGAAACATAACTGTTCATAGATAAGCCTAACTGCTGCTCATAGATTGGATCTAAGTAAAAGTAATGAATACCAAACCTTAAAATATTTGTGAATGTTTGAACAGAACCAGAGAGGGCACTATAACGGTGTCTAAGATCGTCGACATAACTAGCATAGAGTTCTCCTCTGGGTACCACACTTCCCACCTCGTAAGCACAGTTCAATTTAACCCATTTTGCAGTCAACTGATCAACCTGAAAACATCTCCGAATACAGTTTTCTATAACCAATTACAAAGCTGAAGCACAAACATTAATACACAAATAAATAATTCAACAAATAGATAAATGGCCAAATTAAAAAAATACAAGGAATATAAATGAGTAAAAAAGAAACAAATATATACATAAATAAATCTCTCTGCTGTACTTGTCCCGCGCTCAGATTTGTTATGCTGATCGCTTTCGCTTCATCCTCGTGAAATCCATAGTAATTATTGAGTTAAATGCTTCCGAGCTCTTCTTAAGCACTATTGTTTGGATATATGTCCCAACGTTATCAGATAAATTGTTTTCCTTTAGAGAGCTTTTATGGATCTTCGTTACGACTTCCTCCCAAGCACATACCGAACTATCTTCGTTCTGCATTTTATTTCTGCCGAGTTATTAGCCAGTAAATCATACTTTCGATTCTTCTCGATCTCGAATGGTATCAACCTAACTTAACCGATTATGCCAATGTCTATAAGGAGTACTCTTAAATACCGCTCCATGAGCGTTTTGTTGATGTTATTCAAGCTTACCTTCTTTTCTATGCTGCCTCTCACCTCGATGACTTTTCTTGCCTTGTAATAACTTCATAGCATTGTTGTGCCACCTGCAGCTACCTTGCAAGATCAGTCCCTGACTCGAGGCGATTCTGTGTTGCATATACACCCGATGCTTCGTCCACTGTTCAAAGTATAAGCGGGTCCATGCTCTCCGATGTTATTTTCAGCGTCCACTTTGTCTGGTTTATCTCACGTCCCTCGGCCTCTTGCATCAGCACCAGATATTTCTCCTTTACATCCAGATAAACCTTGGACTCATGTAGCGTATTGTATTCGAAGTAGGTGTCAAGTATTTTCACACGCTTCGTTGTCTTCTCTAAGAACCACTTTTGTGAGCACCAATGACTTGCGATGTTAGTGATCGTAGAATCCACTTGCTTCTCCATTCCTTAGTGAGTAATAGCACACACAAATTCCTAGCAGTATAAAAAATGACAGAAGGGCCATCTCCTTATTGACATCTCGCCAAAATAATCAATAACCGTTCTTAGCATTTCGCATGACCACCTCGTCTTTGGAACCTGGAAGAGTGCTTTGAGCGCAATCATCTTGCTGATTCTGGTTTCGATATTCCGACGGCGAAGTTTCAGCTTTTTCAACAACTGTTCATTTTTTCTTCTTTTTCCCTCCATCTGCACCTCTTTTTTGCTTTCTTCCCTTGTTTCGCTGCGCTCTCGTTCCCTTATTAGTAACATAGCAAGGAAATTGCATGAATATTATCGTTGTAGTCCAGTATTTCTTTTTGCTCGTCGGAAGTGTCCTGTGCAGTGAAAAGTTCCTCAAAAAAGCATTTTCAACCACTAAATAGCTGACTCGATTAACAGCTGGAATTTTATTTACGCCGTATTACTACCATTTCTACCATTCTAGCGTTCTTTGCTGTTGATACGATTGCTTTTGATGTTGCACTAGTACTGACAGCAGTTATTTGCATGATAACGTTACAATAATATCTCCATAACATATAAAGATAGAGTAAAATAAGTAAAAAACTATAT